GATGAAAAAAAAATCGCAAGTTGGGTACTTTTGATGAACGACTCTGTATCGTATCTCTCGATTTCGTTATCGGCATGTTTTCGCTTTTATCAATCCGACATCGGATTAGTTGATTTTTTAACACGTACGTAAGGCGTGTGTGTAGGAGCCTTAAGTGCCTCTTTAAACGAGAAAACGTCTGGAGCGGATCGAAGCGTGTTAAGTAAAGAGAAAAACGCGATATGGCAGAAATAAAATTAGTGTGAAATGAAATCGCTATATATGTATCCTTTTTTTTGTCTGCTCGAGCTCGTTGCGGGCGAACGTTCAACGGTATATTATCCGCGCGGGGCGCGATTTATCTGAAAATTCAGTTAGCATAAGTCATTGAGTTTCGATCGATAAGCGCTTTGATCGTCGAACAAGAAAAAACAAAAAAAAAAAACAAAAAAAATGAAACGCGCGTCACGGAGACCGGCTACATGTACACTCGCAAAAGGACTGGAAATTTATGGCCACGAGGCTATAAATCGCCACGCGGAGTGCATATCTAGGCGCAGCCTATACGTATCGACGATTAATTCAAGGATCAACGCTCAAAGAACTCGAGTCGATCGTGGATGGACACGCGGGTACTATATTAAGCCTATCTCCTTGCTCGCCTTATGGGTGGCTATTTTTACAATGACCGGACTGTCGAGAGTACACATATAATAGAGGCTGAGCAAGGCTATGTACTTGAGCGAGGCCTTTTATATCTGTGTTTTTAATGTGTTTAATATAACAAGTGGCCCGCGCGCGCGAAATCCTTTTTTTTCCATGGCTCGCGAACTGTTGTTGGTTTGGAGTGGCCGTCAACTATACAAACGGATAAAATTTTATGTGTGGAAGCCAAGATCGCGCGGCGAGTGTCGAGGCTCTAGCTGCGGCGGCCGCTACTTTTCGCCGCGGAGGTACGAATCGTTTAATCGCTTTTAGAAAGTCTCGCGGACTCTGCGGTCGAGAAATCCCATGGTATACAGCATGTAGCGGGAGCAGCTCGCGGCAAACTCACATTCGTCTGTGTTTTTTTTTTCTTTTTTTTTTGTATCAATTGTCACTGCACGGCTTAGGACAGGCACTATACATCTCTCAGTGCGGTTGGCTGGGATAAAGATTACTCGTCAAAGCCATTGATTTTTACTGTATCGACTTGTTTTCTCGTACATGGTATTTTTGTCAAAAATTTGAAAAATAAACGCATCGCTCACGTAATTTTAAGCTGCATTAAACGAAAAATTGATATTTACACTTTTTTGCCTCGTGATCGGTGCATGTACTGCGCCGCTCGGCAACTTTCGTTATTTTATAACGTCACTTCATTCGATTTCACGCAAACGCGACATTGCAGTGCGTCTCGTGCTGCGGCATAAAAGCAATCTCATAAATTTTATATATATTTTTCTTGCAAAACGTCCACGTGGTTTTTCCTGCAACGCCCGTTGCGTACGCGACATCAATTATGTAAATGCATGGCTTCCACGTTTCTTTTCGACGAAGGCTAATTTTCATAAACGTATCCAGGAAAATAAGTATTCGACAAAGATTTATATTATATGGATCGAAGGTTTGTACGGATGAACGAGCACTTAACTCTCATAGACCGCAAAGTACGAGATGCTTAACTGGCCTTTTCAGGAGAGCGAGCTCTAGGGTTCACGTAATCCCTGCGGGTTTCGCAGCGCCAGGGACGTAAGACACAAAGCCACAGAGACCATCCGCAAGCTCGACTTAGGAAAAAAAGCTCGAATAGGCGAGCTTTCACCTTTGGGCGGCCCGAGATGTCGGCCGGCTTTTTACACACAAATGCTGTACATACATTTACGATGAGAAATGTCAACTGTGTTGTCAATCCAGAAAGAGAAAGGCGTCTGCTGGAGCGGTGTAAAATCTTGTGTGCACACGCAGAGACACACTGTGGTCTCCTTCGCTCTCTTGGACGTGCATTTAGCGCACATCGACCTTTTGAACGGGCTCCTCGACAGCTGGCGCGCTTTGAAAATAGCCCCACGATGGCCGTACAGCTCCCACATCGTCTTAGTCCCCAAAAGGTTTAATTTGTATATTTTAAATGTCACAGTTACGACAATAATCACGTGGAATTATTTACGATCATTACTCACGGTTTAAAGATTATTATTATTGGAGCGAATTTAGCGAGTGTTGATAAAATCTAGGCGCCGGCTTCGGTTACAAAAATAGCCTATTAAATACGAGTCGATGAAAACAGCACTCCATATAGGATAGGAAATTATAAATGGCGAAAACTAGTCGAGTTATCGCACACGTACTTGCACACGCTTGCGAAGGTGGAGAGAATTAGCGGCATATCGCTCGAGCCAATCCGAATCAAAGGCACGCGCAATCGCAACAACTGCTGCGAAATTACAACAATCGAGCTAATCAATAATAACAATGATGCCCGACACATTCGTGTGTGGGACTGCACTTGCACAGAGCTGTTGCATACCTATAGATATAGTGCAGCTATATAACTGCCGAGGAAATGCTTGGCTGGACACAAAAATGAAATAACACGGCCGGTGCGGCGCAGCGCGTGTATATTACCTGCGATCTACCTGCGCGCGATGTACAGGTTCGTATTTGAGGCCTACGTACCGTGCAGAGGTATACGTCTATATCTCTCGAGATCATTGTGTTGTGCGTTCTTATGACTGATGCTATATATATAATGCTCGGTGGATCTTATAGAGCCGCGTGCACGAGCACCCGCATTTCGACTCGTACATTATATCGTATAATAAAACGATATCACGAGCGGCAGTGAAAGTCCTGCGCACGAGGATTCGTCTGTATTATATCTTGAACGCTATAGAATAATCGTGCGCAGCTAAGACCATTGTTGACGCTGTCGCCATGGCCACGGCTTAGATACATCTTTTATTTACATTTTTCAAGCCGTAACAATAATCCTGTTACGCTGCTACTGGAAAAGTTGCATATATTTACGCTGAAAAACCACTACTTTCGAGCTCGATTCCGTTAGACAAACTCGAAGCTGTGTTCTACGCGAATGATATTTTGTTTTTCCATAAAAGAGAGGAAAAAAAGAATGAAGTAAATTGCAGAAGCTACGTTCGAATGGAAATTGCCAGTCGATGCATAACACTCGCGCATGTACAAGGCCTGGGAAAATAGCCGAATGAAATGATTGATATTCGTATCGCGGACGTATGGGTTTTTAATAAAGTATAATTTTATGCGAACTTGTATTATACGAGAGAAACGAAGAGTAGTAGCCGCGATCGGGCCGCCGTCACCTGGCGCCGTCGCAGACTCGCGCCTTTTCCTCCGTCCGCCGCCGCGAGTTGCTGCGCTTCCATAAGATAATTACACCTGCGCGCGTCTACGTCTCTCAGCTGTAATGCGTATCTGCGCGCCCGCCGAGCTATACATTACACTCGACTCTCTCGCACACACACTGCGGAGCTGTGCATAAATTTTTACGATGCGCTCATGCCTCGTTGCGTGCGGGATATAGCGCGGCTTGGCGAGGCGAGGAAAAATTAGGTCGGTCACGTGGCTCGCGGCCCAATCGGTTCAACGTCAATGGACGCAAACTTCGTGCAGCTATATGTGCAGCTTCGTACATGGCTCGATAAAGTCTACTATACCCAAGCTGCGCGACTGTATATAGTTTTAGTTTAGCTCCAGCACTGCAGGCTTTATCGGTAAGCGTTGCATATTATAAGCTGCGCTTTTCCGAGCTCGTGTCTCGATACTTTGGAATTGATGCAAGGTAAGGGGGCCTTGCTGTGTACTTTCATCGAGCACGACTGGCTATAGAATTCGTAGAGACAAAAAGATCACGAAGGACGTGTGTCGCGCGTACTTGAAGAAAAAAAAATCAAACGTCAAAAAGCTAGGATCCGTGAGCTCATGCGATTCATTCAAGTGCGAATATAGCCGCGCGTGACGACGACAAATATTTCCCAGATGAATCGTATATGCGGCCCCGCTCGTACTCCTACGGCTTAGCTCTTGTCTTGTACATTGCACTAGTCAGGCTCGTTCGAGCAACTCACGAGTCAACGATATTATTTGCGCAACGAATGCTAAACTCGGTTCTTTTCGTTATATCCTCTAGAATGATCGATGACATCGCCAATTTTCGCGACGCGCAGGTGCTTCTAGTCACGTAAACTCCGCGACTCCTTCTCGACGCAATAGCCTCGTATTTTTTACGTATACTATCGCTTATCTTCTGAAAACAAAGCCGTGCACGCGGCTTTGACGATACGAGCTGAGCAATCCTCGCGACTGCCGTAACGCGCACCTACACGCCAGCGCATAATAATTGCCGACAGTTTCGCGCACTTGTACTCCTCTTTTTCTTTTTCTTTTTTTTTGTGTCATCCGACGTCTCTCGTTACGCGGCACCTGCCTGCAGTTTTTTTTCCTCCTTATCAGCCGGAGTCATTTATATCGCGCTTGCCTCGTTTCTTGCGCAAAGAACAACACAAACGCGGTGTCGCGAGGCTCGTACGTTACTTTCAGCGCACGATAACTTTTTTCCGACTCGCGAGAATAATGAGGCTCGGGGATTACTCATTACTAATACCGCTTTCGTGATAAGGAAATTTTGCCTTACATATACATATACATCAAGTGGAGTCGCGAGCGAGAAACGAGAGGAAAATAAGGTCGACGAGAGGTCGAGTCAAAATTGCTCGTATAAAGGATCAGCTCTCTCTCTCTCTCTCTCTCTCTCTGACCCAGGCCTGGATCCGTCGTGTGCGCGGGCGGGAAAATTGGTCCCAGGCACTGACGTTTATAGCGTCAGCTGTATAGTCGGTCGGGTCAAGCTCTCGACGCTCGCAATGACGTAGATATACGTGTGTATCGCAAGCGCGTCACGCAAGCGCGCCCGGCCACGCGAACCTCGTGTATGTGCTGAACGATATACGGACTCTGTGCGCGCGCCATACACGACACGCAGCCGCGAGCTCATAGTCGCGTGCTCGCCGTCTTTCCAATAGCAACAAGCAGCAACTCGCGCAGCTGGCGCGAAGCTCGACGCGAATCTGTGCCGAGAACGCATATAGCTACTAGCTAGCTGCATATAAATTCAACACGGAACAATCGGGGAGCTGTTTGGCTTTTGACCTCCTCTTCGCAGCGCGTCCCAAAGTGCACAACAAAGCTCCCTCCTTGTCCCGCTTCCTAGATACATCGCGCACAGAAGCTTCGCAGCTTTTGTATACAACTACCACAAAGTGTCACACGTGTTGTGCAGCCGTCGTCTCGAAAGCTCGCGTGCGCCCGAATAGAGTGTGTGCGGTTGCTCAGGTGGATATACACAAATCCTATATCTCGGACAATCCAATCCACGAGACTCGCGGAAACTCGAAAATTGGAGCGAGTCGCGCGCACGCGCACCTCAAGCTGGAGAACCCTCGAGTAATGACTAAGGTACAACAGAGCACAATCTTCGCTATGTGGCATACGTCAATGTTTGTTTCGCTTCATTCGCGCTGAATTTTTTTTTTCTGTTCACCCAAATTTGCGAATTCCACAGAACTATGGAACCGAAAGCAACAAATGCGTAATCTTATCGAAGATTTGCGGCTTTATAAACTTCCAGCCTTTTCGAGATTCGTCATTCTGTTTACTCAACGTCACGCTTTACTTTTGTTTATTTTCCATTTATGTTCATTTTTTTGATTCGCGCTCAACTTTCGTACTAATGATACCAACAATAAACGTGCGGGCGTTAACATTAAACTGAAATAAAATCAGTCGATTGAAACGACCAATATAATCTAAAAAATTTTAATTACACATTGTTGATCGATTACTGACGTAAAAAAACGCGCTTTGTACTTGATAATTAGCCGAATTGTTTACATGTACGAGAAATTACTGAGAACGAAAAATTCCTGTGAAAAAATGATTCAATTTTTTTTAGAAATTAAAATAAATAAATCATCCGTTGAGTTCGAGATTTAATTTGTGCATAAAAAATACAAATTCACGGCAAAGTAATTCGATTTTCAAAATATATATACGTGAAACTTGCAAAATAATGATACTTTTTTCTCTTCTGGTAGTGCGAATAATCGTTGGTGATTTATGCAATTTTAAATAAATTCCTCTCTTGTCTGAAAAAGGAAGACAATTTTCAAATTGTCTGCTCAATTGTAAACGTTGATAGCATTGAGATTTACGAGCTTTCTTTTCGTAAAACCATTAAAATGCACGCGACCATTTTTTCTAATCATTTGTCTTTTCCATATAAATAATCGTACTCGTCGGTAATATTCTGTATTTACAATCTTCAACTATATACTTACGAGGAGAAACATGAGTTTTGCGCAGTAACGAATCTGTATTTTTTACACTTAACAATTGTTATGGCCATTAGTAACGACCAAAGCAAATAGATTTCATGGTTTTCGCGTTTTCACATCCTGATTTTTTCTCGCTACTGCAGCTGAAAACGCTTTCCTTAACTCGGCTCTCTGTGTGTACGCACATAAACATTGCGTAAACGCATCGATAAAAAAAGAACCTTGCAACTCTCACTATCAGATTCGACTTCCTCATGATCATGATGATGATAATGATGATGATGATAATAACGTTGATTGGCGTATAATATAATAATAATGATACAGTTGGTAGACGGGAGCTTATGATCGCTCGTAAGTCGATGCAAAAAAATGAAATAAAAAATAAAAAAGAGATACACTCGATTTTACGTAAGTCGTACAATAGAATTCGTGTAATTTTCTTCGGGTTAATTAATAACGATGGCGCGCGGAATCGGGTGTGCTTAGCGAGTGTAACTATTATTTATTATACGACATGTAATGGTTCACGGCCGGTACGAGTCCGTAGTTTTTCATCTGTACAACGGCAAATCGGAAAAGAAAGGCCGATAGCGCGCACACGTGTGTCTGACAAAGGCTGCTTACGCCGCGTTATAATAGACGGCAAGTGCAATCGCGCGGGGATAAAGTGACGACGACGCACGCGGGAATCCGTTAAAGCCTTGAAATTGTCAGACGAGAACTGAAAGGGGTTGCTTCGCCTTGATGTCATTAGAAAGAGCAAAATCGCGTTTATTTGCGTCCGCTTCATTGATCGAGCGCGATGGTTATGATTATAATGTAGTCGTCGTGTCACAAGCACGTATTAGATTACACGCGTTCGAGGCCACGATGGACGTCCGATTATTTAATTTGCAGTGTAATCGATAACGAAACACAGACGATAAATTGACTTTTCACGACGAGAGTTACGCGATGAGAGAGCCGCCAGCAAGATCTTGTGTCACCGTTATTAACAACTCCTACGCAAGCCCGCACAAGGTGGATTATCAGATTTGAGGCAATAAAATTACAAAGTCCATTCAATACCGATCGACACTCGTGTTTTTATCTGAATATTTATTTGTTATCCAAAAATAGCGATAGCGTTGTATAAGAGTCACAGAGGAAAAATTAATTGGCTTATCATTTTTAACAAGTTGAATATTTGGCGAAATATAGTAATTGTACAAAATTAGCTAAAAGCCATGTCATTGGACTCTCGTTGAAACCATATCTGCGATGTAGCGTTTATGTAGTCAGCAAAAACCACTTGTACACTCGATCCTATAGCTCGATCAATACGAGCGTTCCACTTTTTTATATTCATGGACTTTTATTTTCATCGGTCAAAGTTCATTTATTTCAATAGCCTGTAATAGTCGGTTCAACGTTACTATACGCACTCGCGGCCAAGATATACATTTCATAATTCCGATAATAAAGCGCAGCAATGAAAATCATAAAACTTTGGCTAATTGCGCCGAGACGGTGTATAAAATAGCCGTTGTCGTCGTAGAGTGAAATTAAGCGGGGCCCGTTCTGTACCGCAGACCGGATAATTTTGCCGAGTCTGCTGCAGCTCTTAGAAAGCTCGTTCTAAGGCTCAAATCGTATGGATGTTTTTTGTCGCGCACTTCAATAGAAATCTCTCTCCAGTCTAGCCTTCGTGTATATATAAACATAAAAATAAATGGTCGTGCCGAGGCAATGGTTTAATCGGTGGCGCTCCGTTTTTTTGTTGCAGGTGTTTACGAACGGCGGATTCAGGACCAGGAGCTGCGAGAGCGACGAGTGCGACGCTCCGACTCACGGTAATGTATAATTTTGTATCCACAACAAGCGATCACGAGTGTATCTCGTTTTCTCCGCGCTTTTAGCAGTTTTTTGTAAGCGTTGCGACGCGTGTTCGGACACTCACCGATAATGTACCGAGTCGCTCGAGATTCGAATTGAAATTTTTAGCTGACGCGCGCGATGCATGTACGACACGATTCATTCTACGGTACAGCATCGTAATACATGAAGGGCGATAAGAATTTGGTCAAGCGGCAAGCTACATCAGGAGAAAACTGCGTAACAGCCAAACGCGCGTTTTCGACGACACTCTCGTTGTTCTCTCGTCCCCTTTATAATACACACGTACAGAGCTATCAACGCGCAATCGGCGTAGCGTGTGAGGCGACCAACGGCCTTTGATATTTTTCAGTTACGTCGGGTATAACCGGTCGCAGCTCTATCTGCGTATCATAGGGAGAACACAAAAATAAACTTATCTATTGCGCGGATCGCACTCGGACACTACACCTATATTACGAGGGGCTGATCAACTTCGTATTGTGTGCACGCGGCAGCACGAGCTTTGAAAAATCGTTGGGTCGCTGTACTTTCGTGTCGCGCGTGATATGCATTAATAAACTGCAACCCTCGATTATTACAACTTTATTCGCCCTGCTTGACTGATTTCATTATTGTTATCATCATTATCGTTGTTATTATTTTCAAAAAAGATCGCATTGAATCTTGTGAGAGTTGCTTTTTGGTGCTAACATTATCATTTTTTTTTGGTTAATCTTATAATGGAAAAATTGCGCGCGGGGGGATTCATCGATTTGGTATCGCTCAAAAAGTCACGATTATCGAACAATTGGAAATTCGTAATTTTACTTGCTGGTCAAATGAGCTAATCCGTTTCTTATTGGATGATTTCTCCGTTTTTATTCAAATACATAATTTTCGTCAAAGAAACATTTCTTATAAACCATATCGTTACTTACATTATTTTTTATACTTTCTCGGACGAATTATTAAATCTGATCTATTGCTTCATTGCTGTATACTCGAGTGGTTGCAACTTCATTGCCTAAAAAAACGACAGATTGTTTAACAAGAGCTGTTAAAAATCATAGTCTAGAAAATAAAATAAAAAACTAATAATAAAAATACCTTTGCGAACGGTATCGCGTGTTTTGGGTTTTATTCGTTCGCCACGATTTCTGTGGCCAGACATATTTTCAACAAATCCTCGTTCATCAGTTTCTCGATGATTATATCGCAGCAGAGAATCGGCAACCGGTGGCGCGTAAGCTGCAACAAAGATTCCAGTGCCCATTGCTGGAAAAATCCTCTCCACATTGTCTCGCAAAGGTGCGTGATAGACGCCCTGCGCGATCCTTCGGGCAACTTCCTCCATTGATTCCAAGTTGCGAACTTGAAGTAGTCCGTATCTCTGAGTTGGTACTTTACTTTGTCGGGTCGTAATTGAATCAAATCGTAAAGCGAAGAGCTGGGATTCATCCTCAGTTCTTTTGCTTTGCTCACGAATTCTTCGTTGCGACGCCAAAATTCAAGATCCTCAACCGTATCGAACAATACGTGCTTGATCAATGTTTTCATGATCTTCATGGCGTCACTTTTGTCCAGTTGGTATCCCCGTTTTTCGAGGCGCTCGACGACTTGCATCGTTTCCGATGCCAATTTTATTTTATCGAGGCCCAAAAGCACCCCACTTCTACGTTGCGTAAATCTCTCGGCAAAATGACTCTCGGTTGGAAAAACAAAGTTAGACAGATCGGCGCCACGATCCAATAGTACATCGAGCTCATTCAGCAAGAGATTCGCCACGGCCAATTGCAGCGGTGTCCGGCCCAACTTGTTTCGGGCGTCTACTTGCACCGCTCGATGTTCGTTGACGCTGAAGATTATCTCCACAAATCCATTGAAGTAGATGGTCTCGCAAATAACGTGCAGAGCGGTCATTCCGTCTACATTGGTTGAGTTTGGATCGGTGCCATTTTTCAAAAGCAATTTTAACATCGCCTCGTTTCGATCCTTCAGAGCCAAGTGCAGCGGCGGATCGACTGAATCTCGCGCGAGTAGATTGGGATCCTGTCCGAGTTCGAGGAATTTCACGACGACGTCGCAACATCCTGACCAGCAGGCCACGTGAAAATGCGATAGGCCGGACTCGTCGGTGTAATTCACGTCGAATCTGTCGTATATTTTAAAAAGGTCAGGGATAATAGTTCTGCTAGATTCTAGAAAGGCTTGATGCACCGGTGTGCTGCGACGCAACAGTGGATTTTGGTCTTCGTCATAGTCAGGCTCGTCTTTATATCCGGCGTCGATCATAAATTGGACGATCAGCTTAGCTAGCTCAACTACGCTGACATCGAACTTGATAAAATCAATGAGAAGCAAATCAATTTCTTGTCGTCGAAAAATGTTTCGAAAGTCTGGAAGATGTTCGTACCAATCGATGATTAAAAAATAAAATTGCCACAAAAATTGTAGTCTCTCGTGTTGAATCTCCCAATTGACCTTTTCTCGCATGATCTTCAATCTTTCTAATTTTTCTTGACTCGTCTCGTAGTAATCAGATAACTCATTATCGCCACTGGAATCACTGTCGGAGTCGTCGTTTTCTTCAAACAAATGATCACCGTCGTTCGAATCATCAACGAAATCCTCACCGGACATGGTTCTTTACACTCGCACAGAAATATCGGTTCAGCTTATAATTGAAGTAAAATTTATTCACTTCTCGAGAATCACTGGCTGCAATCGATTCGATCTTCCTTTTTTTACGCTGTGGCGTCGTAATTACGTGCCCCGCCGGTGTGTAGGACTGAGCGGACTGAACTAAACAACATACGGAGCAGCACTACAGCCACTGTTGTCATTCCCGCCAAATTCTTGAGACGGACTTGGTCGCGCGCCCACACAAGTAAACACGTATCGCACAAAGATGTGTTGACAAAATTGTTCCATATTCTCATCACTCGATCACCTCTTTGTTGTGCGCAGTATGAGTAAGTGAGCAAAAAAGGATGCTCCAGCATTTTACGCGATAACAAATGGAGCCTTTGTCGGTTTTAAGTCTTTTATACACGACAATAATCCATTCGTTCACGAGTCCACCGCTACGTTCGCTAGCAGCGGCTCGGTTTGGCACGTATTCTGCCGAAGTTGCACTCGCTCAGACGGTCGGTTGGACGGACTTGACCTCCCACATATTCAAAGCGCGTAAAGAAGTTTAACTTCAAAACTTGTCAAAGTCACGAATGCGCTTGTCTTTTGCATTATAGCAGTCCGTTCGTTTTACACAAGATGACGCGGTCGTAAAGATTCGCGCTCCGGCGCCCCGGTGTGTTCACATGATCATGCACGCACGCTGATGATCATCATGCCGCAAGATGCTCGTCTGCCAGTCGACGAAAACAGGCATATATCCCGCGAGAGGAGAAGAATTACGCGCCGAGGCAGGCCGTAAACTTGTCAATCACGCAACGTGTAAATTTACCTTATTACTCGTGTGCAGCGCGAGTCTATAGGATACACGATGTTATATGCAGCAGCAGTTAGGTGAAAGTATATACACGCTCGATCGCGAAACAAACGCGTGGCTCGAGTGAAATAAAGAGAGAGAGAAATGATCGGTGTATAGTACTTGTAACGCGTTGCAGCTGAGAGCAGCGCCAAGTAGCCGAGACGCTTTGCCGCGGAATATCGATCTGCACACGCGGATCGGTATAGGCGCCGGGAGTACTTATAGGTATAATTTTGAATGCGCTTCATCGCGTGGCAATGGGAGAATTTTCGGAGACTGCGGGAGCTCGTGATGTGTCGATGTCGACGGCTATAGTACACGTGTTGCGCGTTGCAATTCCGTCACGACGACCGAATATTGCTTATTTCGATATAGCAGCCGTTTACTTGGGCGAAAAATCGTGTAATGGCCTCGGGCTAACACGACGACATAACAATTTCGCGCCTTTTTGAGCGATCGCATATTGCGATTATATATTGGATGTGCTGCCCGGCAGCGAGAAGCTGTAATGATATAAGCTCGTTTGCATGAGCCAACTCGCAGTGCATTTTACAAGCGGCAATATTTATATGCGAGGACGACGACGACGACGACGACGACGCTGAGGCAGGAAAAATAATCTCGCTTTCGTAGCGCTCTGTAGCACGCCGTGGCTCGTAAAATCCGAAACGAACGGCAATTCGTACCTGGAGGCGAGAGAGGTAGGCTATATGGATGCGGCACAGCTGCGCCATCGATTATTAGGAAGAGCGCATTTCGCACGTAACGAGCCTGATTGAAATCAGCTCTCTTATAGCTCCTCTTGCGAGCAGCGCAGCGGCGCCGTTATATATCGCGACATATATACATATTACGACTCTCGAGCGAGCAGCAGCGGGTCGTTGCACTCGACGGCGGCGGTGCCTCTCGCGCAGCCGGCAAACGTCAGCCGGTATCGGGCGTCGTCGCTAAAAGGAAATTGCCACGAGATTTGCCGCGCGCATCGACGAGCAGTAGCAGCGGCGGCATTAGCTCATCCCAATGCCGCCGCCACCGCTGCATTGCTCGGCCGCGAGTCATCTCGTTCGGTCAATTTTTCTCTCGCTCTCTCGAGAGAGAAGCCGCAGCCGCTACATTATGTATATAGCACGCTGGTAGTAGTCAACTGCGCAATTGTTGATGCATATTCGACCGGCAATCGAAATCAATTGGGCCGTTTGCAGCCAATCGTTGCTCCAACTAATCAAACTTTCTCTCCTCGATATATAGCTCTCGATTCGTCCGGGTGTACAATTCCGCCGTCGACTGCAGAAATGACAAGTCTGCGTATCGCTGCCTATCGCGCGCCATCATTTTCGATCCGAAAGATCGTTCCGCTCCAAATCCACAAGTCGAGTCGTTATTTTCTCGTTTTTACCGCCATGTATTCGAGTCAATCGCTAGTCTATACATCGGCGTGAACTATATACAGCTCCTGGACAATCTCACTGTGGGCCATGACAGGCCCACACGAAGCCATCGTCGGGGTCATTACCAATGAAACGAACATCGCGATGCAGTTGTTAAAATCGCTTGCGTAATTATTCCGTAATGCACCGTCCAAGTCGACGTTTATTTCCTTCCTCTTTGATATCTCCATATAGCTGCTGTAGTCTCCGATAAACGTATATGCATATCACCTACATACAAAGGCCGGAATCGAGACCGGCGCAAAATAATAGGGACACGCGATCGAAAGGCGATCGCGCGATCGGCCGATAAGCGCTGCGGCTCCTCTCGACGCTCGATTGGTCAAGATATCACGTTTGTGATATGTGTGCCAAGAGCTGCTGCTCGCTTTGTGTACGTGCAAAAATAATAATCAATTATTTTCTCGCTATCGGCTGCAGTCTCGGGGCCGAGCTCGAAACGTTCCTATCGAGTATTGTTTATAGATCGACTTTATGACTCGAAGCGACGTACGTTTAGGTACGTCCGCTCGTATTATACACAGCGAACACCGAACAAGGACTGATTTATCGAGCATCGCTCTTTGCTCTCGTTAATAATGAGCCGATAAGAGGCCCGACGCGAGAGGCCTATGCTGCGCGATATACAAAGAGACTGCGAACGAAAAAGAACTAGCGTCTCATCTTTCCGAGCGAGAGAGCTGGCGCGCGCACGAGCACGAACCATACGAGCGTCTTTGTTTTCGACTATACGACGAGTATTACAGCGGTGGCAACAAGTGAAAGCGTCAACTATCTGTCTCCTTCCTCCTTGGCGCGTTCACCGTATCTAACGCGCGCGTCTCTTCTACAATATGACTGGGACATTTTTTTCTTCCTTATTGCCGCGAGCGAGAGCTCATCGCGTGCGCGCGAGACTTTTCCGCCTAAAGATAATGGACCATTAAGCTGCGCACGACGCGCCGCGCGTACACAACACGATAATGAAATTTCCGTCGTTTCAGCCATTGTAATGAGCGATCGCGATACATGTATTATATGTATTATATCCGAGTTCGCCAAGGCTATAGAGAAATTCCTATACGTTATGTACATCCTCGACTGATGCGAGAGCCTTGTCGTTCCTGACGCGCTCGGGGTCTGGAGAGCATGTTAAAATCCACCGACCTTGACTCGTTTTATACGGGTAATAAATTCTACATATCATATACTCCACAGATGCTCTATATAATCAGTTGGATCGGACAATTATTGCTCGACTCGAAGTCGAAATTAATCCACTCAAACTATAATCTCTGCTCAGCGGCTACTCAAATCAACGATGATTTTCGATAACTGACGTCTAATTCGTAAGGTTTACAGCGCTCAAATTAACACTAAAACGAATTACAATTAGGTGAGCTTTCAAATCGTAGCTCTTTTAATTGCTCAATCGAGAAAAAGTGGCAGAAAGCTCGTCGCGCGCAATCATCCAACGATCACCATTAGACAGGCTCGTAACGAAGCTCGGAAAATGTTTGCTTTGCTTTGAACAATGTAACTACTGCAGTCAATCAAAAAAGACAACGTTGTTTACACTGCGAGATCGAGAGAGTAGCTATACAGACATTTTTGAGAAAGTACATCGATGGCGCTTGCGCACCGATTTTCGATCGACGCGTTTACTTAATTCAGTGTATATAGATAGTATACACTATATAAAGACCACGTTATCGCGTATGTATATATTATACTCAGATCGAAGTGACGTCATAATCCTCGGCTGAGCTTGGAGCACCAACTCCGCGTCGACGGAGAGCTTTGGCCTCTGCCATAAACGTACGCGCGATTCTCGCTTCTCGTCGATGACCAATTAGGTCACAGCACAGACTCGAACTTGCAGTGCTCGAGCTAGTCCTCGGTACATATTTATCTGCCCTGATAATAATAGTTGAAGAATGTCTGAGATTCGCTCGCGTTGACGGCGATGAAAATTCCTGAATAAAAAAAATATACGTATGCGATTCGAGGCCTGGAATTTTTCTCTATCTCTCTCTCTCGATGAGAGCAAAAAAACTGGTGCATCGCGCGTTGCTCTATCGAATTTCACCTTGGCGCAGTTCTGGTCGATCCGATTAGCTGCCGCTGCCGCTGCTTGCCTTTCGAGTCGACTCTCGAGTCGCTGCTGCTGCTGCTGTTGCCTGGCAGAAGTGCGCGCGCGCGCGCAACCCGCGAAGCCCTTTGAAACGGAGCTACGATGCAGCGTGTCGTGTGTGCAGCAGCTACTATGTATATTGCTCGAGCCAGAGCTGCACACGCGTGTGTATTATCGGGCCGAGTTTGCCCTGGAAGCGATCGTGCCGAAGGCAGGCGACTCTCCAGTGCTTACGCGTCGTCTGTCCAATCCATATGCGGATGCAGCCGCGGCCGTCGCCGTCATCGCGACGCGTCGAGCTGCTCCAGCGTAGAATTAATAATAATGTCATTCGCCGAGCCAGATGACGAGTCTCTGCTTTACGCGAGTGTGCGCGAGAGGATCGCTTTTTTGGAAGGTTCGTGTTTTGAGCTAGCTCGCGCTCGAGCGCCGCGCGATATTTGGTATCTTCCGGTATCGAGCTCGTTTCCGCGTCGCGACGCTTCTGATTAGATTATGAACACCGCGAGCAATTTTTGAATTTTTTTTTATCTTTGTGCTTTCAGGCAAGGATATAATGGCACCAGTTCTCGGTGTACCGCCACCGCCGCCACCTGCACCCCACATGGGTCCCGACGGCTTGATTCTGCCTCGTAAACCCTACAACCCCTGCCTGGGCTCCTCCAGCCACAAGGACCTACACAGGGAGCTGCTGTTCAACCAAAAAATGTGAGTCACTTTCTTTTGTCTGTTCTTGTTTTTGCACTCGTCACCGCTGCGATAGATCACCTTTATATTTACGAGTTTCGTGCTTGTTCCAAAATTGAACGATCGATACGTGTTGTCCGTTTGCAGAGGCAAAAGTGTGCTGAACCAAAAGAGCGAGCTGCAGCGAGCCCTGGACAGACACAGAGAGATGGCCTCGCGCAAGGAAGCCGAGAAGATGCAAGAGGAGTCCCACAAAAACGATCCGCGAACGGCCTTGCAGAGGGCCATCGAGCAGCGAGCCAAGCACATACAACAGTCGGTGGGTGTTTAAATTTGCAATCATCATCTTGATTTTTTTTTGCCTTACAAGTATTCGATCTATTCTGTATTTTTTGTAGCAACTGCCGCAACCGCCGGAGCCGCTAAATCCTCTAGCCACGGCGAGAGCCAAGCTGCGTTCGCGCACCGAGTCACAGTGAACGAGAGAAGCTACGAGGAGGCCTCCACGAACATTTTTGTGCTACAACGCCGAGATAGCAAAAGACATCCCATTATTGTTCCATTAATTGCCAACACCTCTATTTGATTCGTCGACAATTCGCGTATTATAATCGTACAATATGTTCGCGATGATGGAGAATTACTGCGGATACGAGTGCAGAGAGACGCGAACAGCAGCGATTCGACACCGATTGTTCGGTTCGAACCAGTTACGAAAAATCCGCTCATCGGATCATCGCCTTTTCAAGAAATCAACTTTACTTTACTTCGATAATAATATTACATTATAACATTGTACTATATTATTGTGCTATATAGAAGATACGGACGCGCATATCCGCGCGTACGTAATAGCAAAAAAACCCGTAAGTGTAATTGAAAAGTGTCACGAGCGCGACGGCGAGCATGTAATTCATATTTCAGACCATTTTGAATTTTCGGATGCTGAGAGAGCAGAAAGCGTGTTTTCGTTCATTAATTGTCACACCCACGACCATGTAAATAAAAGTGTAATTCAGCAAATCTATATTTAAAGAGAAAAACAAAGCAGTGAGCTCTTGTACTTTTAGCCTCACGATATATTTATGTATCACCGTATAAATGCAACTGTATGTGAAACAAAAAAAAATAGGCAATCGATTGTTCGATTTAGCCCCCTCCCGGTATATAAGAGCAAGAGCAGCAGCAGAGAGAGAGATAAAACGACGAAAGATTGTGCGAAGACGATCGAAGATTTTTCATGTATAACGGAGAATCGAGAGTGCGGTGCGTTTCCATATATTGACCGATTCTTATACGCCGATGATCGAAGCGCGGCGCGGACCCTCCGTGCACCTTTGTGTACGTCGAAGTCGTGTATGGTGCAACAGCACTTTCGAACCGCAACAGTGCAGCTATATACTAAAAATCTATTTTTTCGAAATCTTCTTACGACTAAGGCCTTAACTTGTACATTATTTTCCCCTCATCTGTTATAGCATTTAGGCCAGTTATAATAATAATAATAATAATAATAATATAAATCATCAATTACACAGTTTCTCGATAAACAATCAAAAATGTTGTCGTTCATTTTTCTATGTTTAGATTGATCAAAGTGTTAATCTTAATTACCTATTGACAAAGTAAGTAGGTACAAAAAAATTACGAAACAGATAACAAATAAACTGAAGATTCAAATAAAAATTCAAATGTCTTTATTATTTGATTAATAAACGTCATCATTTATTTTTTTTCCTCTTCCACAATTCATTTTTTCCTTTTTTTCTCTCAAACTAAGTCAAAATGTATTCCGAAAGAGAAGTCATTCCACAAATATGACGATCGAAATTTATTAAACGTTTACTACAAACGTATTAATAACTTTAATAATTATAAGTTAAGGATCAGGTGAGAAAAAATATCACGACAAAACTTCCACAACGTTATTAGAGTTGGATTATCAACATAAATGTGCCTCGAACCAATATATTAATCATTAAGAATTACAAGATAATTTTCAATTATTCTTAATGGCGTGTTGAACATTTCAGCACCATTGTTACTGTCAGATTTCCTGCTGACACTAATATAGATTCTGATAATACCAACTTTGAAATTCACTGATTTCTTTTTTGAGCCATAAAGTTAATTTTAATATATTGTACAAACTTTAAAATGTTGTGTATCGATGGCAATTTTCTGTTGATAATTATTTTTTCGTGACTTGGACTTAGTAGTCGTCACCTCGGGAGATGACTTCTTTGCAAGTGGGTCGCAAAACAATGGTATGTTCAAATTGCGCTGTGTAGGAGCCTTTAATGTCAACTAATGGCGGGTATGCTTCAACAGCTTCCTTATCACAGAGATCTTTCAGAGCCATTTGGTATTTTGTGCAGCCCAATCCGTCTAACCAACGCTTGCAGAACGCCAAAGTACCTGTGATAAACAAAAATTAATTATAACATTTATCTCATCAGGAGGAGTCAGATAATGAATATCTTCAAAATTTACCAAAGTTTTTATTGATGGTATTGAGAAGGGTCTTGCTGCTTTGTAACCTTAGTGGCACAAAACCAGCTTCAAACTTCTTCATGTAATGAGAGCAATCAGCATCGTCATGAACCATGCCACGCCCAGTAGAACCAAAAGTTTCAATGGCATAGAACTCATTTTCTTCCATTCTCTCTCTTCTCTCTCCACCTTTAACAATTGGAACAGTTTTTCCAGAATGAATTTGATAAGGTGCAATTGAGTGTCCATTCAAGTTTCTGATAGATTTGATCTGTAAATTATAGAAGTACATTAAGAATGTTTAAAAATTATAAAATTTAAATCAGTGTTCAATGAAACAATTTTAAGTACCGGATAAGTTTTTCCATCCAATTCAAGTTCATATGATTCCATTACTTCTTGAATTGCTTCACCAACTTCACACAGTGGTACATCAATACCTGATGCTTTAATACCAGTATTGGTAGCTTCACGTACTGCTTCAACCAGTTTGTCATATTTAGGGTTGAACGTCAAAGTAAATGCACAATCGATAATGCGACCATTGATGTGTGTTCCAAAATCAATTTTGGTAACATCATCATACTGCAAAACTGTTGGATCTCCAGAATTTGGAGTGTAATGAGCAGCACAATGATTTCTTGAACAACCGGTGGGGAAAGCTAATCCAGCCTTAAGACCATTTTCATCGATCAGCCTTCTAGCTACAGTTTCGAGTTCATTACAGATTTCAATCATGGTCATACCAGGTTTGACCCACTGTTTAATATGCTTCCTAGTTCTTCTGTGAGCTTCAGCAGCTAATCTAGCTTCGTTGTATTCTTCTTCATGATCTCTTTCAGCAGCTTTGGCTTCTTCACTGGTGTACCTATCCTTGGCTTTCCTCTCATCGACTCCATTTACTGGGGGATATTCAAGAATTTCTCCAACTGGAAATCCATTTTCTGGATAAAGAGTGCGTACAGGGAAAGCAATTGGATCTTTATTAGCTCCTTTGCCCTTATTTTTGCGTTTCTTCTTTTTTTCAGTGGTAGCAGCTCCTTCTTCTTTATTTGCTTCAGTTGTACCATTTTCAGGTACATTTTCAGTTTCTGAAAAATAAATAACTCAATAGTAAGTTTGAAAGTTCATTATAAGTATAATATGGTGTTAATATTTATAAAGTCACTAAGTTAACTGATACATTTCAATAGATTATAAAATATTAAAATAGAAAGTTTTATAAATTATTATGAATACCAATAATTTATTAAATATTTAATAATGATAAATTTTAAACTGACTAAATAAAAAAGCTTATTGAACTTAAGCTCATGAACATACCTTCTGCTTTAGCATCATCACCCTCAATCACTTCTCCACTGGCATCTCCAGAACCTATACATAAATAATTAATTCAATATTATGAATTACAAAAAATAAAAAAATCGCTCGTATGTGAAGACAAAGTAAATAGCAGTTTAGAGGTTCATTTAATTTCCGGGCTGCTTTGCGTCTGACACGTGCTTTTGAAAACAACCAGAACGTTTTACAGAATGACTGAAACCGTATATGGAATAGAGCAACAATAGGTAGCTTAAAATACGATTGCTTTAAACAAATCATCAAATACTTGCATGATATATCGCATATAAAAGGATTGATCTTTTTACAGTAAAAAAGCGCGCAAAAATGGAATGGCCTTGAAAACAGTTTTTGAGTTTTGCGGGGCCATGGCCCAGGATAGGAGTCTCAACTCACCGGCCTTCTTCTTCTTCTTCCTCTTTTTCTTCTTTTTAGACGCATCACCGGAGGCATCCTCGGCCTCGTTGATGATCTCGTCCTTCTCCTCCTCGGCGAACTTAACCTCTTTTTTACCAACCTCGTCGACCACAGTGGCCATTTTTACTTCAGTTCCAAAAGATTATCGTAGAGAGGAGTTCACAAGCGCACAGTTGGAGAGCAAATGCGGAGCTCGTATGCCTGCACCGATGCGCCGTGGACGATTCCGCGAGACCTGAGTCGCAGAGCAAAAGGAAAATAAGAGCGCCTATATATTGCGCGCCTTATATGCTGTGCTGCTATATGTATACACTCGTGTGTCACGAATCTCATATATTCCATTTTATGCACTCACACACATACCGTTGCAGATAGTGCGTAAGTGTGTGCGACTTACATATAGCAAAATATGCAGAATGTTAGACTTGCCCGCGCGCGCGCAAACTACACTTATTTCGATTCCGGACGATGCATTTTACATCATTTTCTAATTATAATTTGAAAATATGATTTCATTGTTGAGCTTGTACTTAAGTTTAAGTAAGAAATTCAATTTATTGTAAGCGTAATCGATGAAAGTTTTTTGTTCATTATGATAAGAGCTAATTATCATAACAAAAGACTTCGTGACTGAAAATAATAACAGTCTTCAAAGATTTTGCTAATTAACATAAGCTTGCTAATAACTAGAGGCCCAATTCCCAACAAATATTGAAAAATGAAATAAGAAGGTTTTTACTTAGAAATAATTTCAATTTAGGCTAATGAATATATGATTTTATTTGATAACCATTTAATCTACACTTAATAAAAGATGTATAAATAATAATTTATAGTTATAAAATAATAAAAATATTAAGCTCACATAATGAACTATTATTAGAGCTTTAACAAACTCAAATAATACAGTATTTGCATAGCATTGCAGCATCCTTTGTTAGCAATCATGATCCATTTTCCAGAGTCTATTGTATGTTCAATTTTCTATTTCATGTTAAAAAAGAATTACTAAATGGTATACTCAAGTGTACTCTGATTTTTCAATTATACTTTTTTACATAAAAATATCTTCAATGTATTTCAATAATTAAGGAATGTCAATGAAACACAAATGGCTTGTGACAACTTTGAATACCAAATCAGAGTTATTTATAATAGTACGCTCCATGGTGGGTGATCGATATCATGATTCTAATCAATTACTGCTTACAACAGTAAAAGAAAATACGAGTATCCAAAATCACACACCATGTAGGTATAATTATTATTTTGGACAAACAAGTCTTAAAATTTAATTTTAATTGCTGATGTTACAAAAAATGTGAAAAATTTTTCTTTTTTCCCAAGTTTTTGAACTAACGCAACAATATCAGTGAGTTGACAAAACGAAGATTTAACCAACAGACGAGATGATTAATTCGGCAACATCGGGATCGGCCGATCGTACAGTGAATTGCATCGTGACTTGCTCGGTCAAAGCTAGCTTAGCTCTAGCCAAAAGTTCTTTGCCTCCTCTGAAGACTCCAGCCAACATCAGCGTATGTTGATTAGCATCAGATTTTACACGATCGGAGCGATCAACTGGATCAAGACCGAGGAAACTGACAAGGCTATTTATCGCCAATTCCAATGTATTCACAGTGGCTCCAAGAGCAAAAATTTGCTCGTGCGTGATGAAATTTCGTGAGGCAGCCGATTCCCAAGCTGATTGGAAATCTAGACTTCTTGCTGAACCCACACCTCTTACTTGATCGCGTAATGTTATTTCCAAATCCTCCAACTAAATAAATTGTTTGCATTAGATTATTGAATTTCTTTTCTTGGTAAATTTACCCATAATATCAATTTTATTTCACTTACCATATACTCATCTTGGTATCCTTGTTCAGACTCGGGCATTCCTGTTGCTGGATTGCAGTCAAGGGCTATGAAACGCAATGTTGTTGGTAGAGATATCACAGTAGAATGGATATCTTCAGGGAATTTCAGTACTGTGTAAGTTGAACCAGGCTCGTTGTAAGGTAATCGTTTGCATGGAATTTCACAAACCACGTCATATCTATTCCGAAAAATATAATAATTACAACTTTTTCACACAATAAAGCCACATAAAAAAATTTACTTACATATCTTGAGTTTCTACAGAAACTCGGACATCTTCGAGAAGCTGGTCGGGTAACGTGTTTAAACAATCAAATTGCAAAATCAAATAATCAGAAAAGCAGTGCTTAATACATTTAACGTTGTATTCTGTTTCAGATTCCGTAAGCTCGAAAACAGGCGATGATTTAAATAGAATTTCGTTGCGAATAATTGCCGAAAGTTCGGGGACTTTTGATAAACTTTCCATGAAAGATTCCTCCCTGCTTAATCGAAGAGTTTGAGGTTTTACAGAAGTCATTACTTCTGGTGGTGGTTCTTCTATTGTTTGTGCTGTTGGAATCTAAATATTGAAAGAAACATCATTAATAAATCGAAATATTTGTGTTAGCTTTAACTGAAAAGTATTTTAAAAAATTGAAGCTTTCACATACCTGAGAAATATCAAAATCTTCTTGCATAGGTGAATTCATATAATTTCTCAAAGCTCTTTCTAAGCTTGGCAAAGATAGTTGTGGGGGTTGCACAAGGGGTAAAATGCTAGAATTTTCATTATTCTCTTGTAAAATTGTGCAATAGTATGTTGCTCTATCTCTAACTTCATCATCAGAATCAAGCTGACACCTTGACAATAATACTAAAATATTTGGCAGTAATACTGGACAAGCAGCAGCAAAATGTGCGAGTGCTGTTACAGCTGCAGCCCTGACACTGGCGCATTCAAGAATAACTCTGTTATAAATGAAACGAATGTAACGCGATGGATTTTTTGAGGTTGGTCCTTCTTGACCAAGAAGATGGAGAATTCGTACAGCTAATGAAGTATGTTCACAATCTTCAATAAATTCACACAAATGAGCAAGACCGGATTCCTTAGCTTCATGATTGCTTTCCATTACTGCTATAATTGTGTCAACAATTGCTGCTTTGTATTCTAAACCACCTTCATCTCTAAGCATTGCCGATAAAAAGTTCATTAAAACTGAATGCTTGCGTGGATATTTTTGACATAAAGACCTAAAAATCAATAAAAATTATGATAAAATATTTAGTTTCTATGCCTGTGATGGTTGAAGGCAAGATGTGAGATTTAAAATACCTGATAGCTTGAACAACTACAACTTTAAATTCATCAGAAATTTCTGATACAAACGTGGCAATTTGCTTCATTAAACGATCAACAGAACTTTCAGCACCAGTCTTCAATAATGTTGTAATAGCAAGAGTAGCAATCGATCTATTTGAATCAGTTATCAAATTTTCTAAATCCAAATTACATGCTGTAACAGCTGCTGGATGAGACATGGCAACTTTATTAAGAGCTTGAACAGCTGCATAACGCAATGTTGGCTTTGGTGATCCACAAAATAGTTGCAATACACTTATGGCTGATGCAATTTCTCGTGTTCCACTTTTTCCAAGATTAACTAATGCATGCGCTGCTTCATAGACAACCATTTCAGACTTGTGACGTATGCAACTTTCTATAAATTCTAAAAATTCAGTTGCATCAACATCAACCTCATCAATTAGTTTGCATGCCATTCTGATCAACATGCAAGCTGCATAAGGACTTTTTGGGCTAGATCTCATAAGTTTGGCAACCAGTTTGATAACTGCATGTTTGTCTGTTTTGCGAGCCTGATAAAGAACACCCAAAGCATGGTATTGAACCATAACATTGTCTGAATTTAAGGCTTCTTGGGCCTCATTTGCCCATCTTTTTGCAACATCTCCAGAAACATTTGTGAGATGCAGAGTAGATACCAAAGCAGCACTAGATACTCCAGCTGATCTATCAACAATGGCTTGTTTCATGTACCTCTCAATAGCAGCCAGCATTGCTCCATCAGTAATAGTACATAAGGCTCTGATAGCTGCAGCTCTGTACATATCTTCCTTGCCAGTCATGTCTTTTGTAAGACTCGATGTAACGATTATGACATCCTCTGCGACAGAGCTTAATTCTTTAATTCCCAAATAGACCAAGCGCCGTAACACTACATCACGAGATTGAAAAAGTTTGGTCATAGCAAAAAAAGCCTCTGTAGCTTCTGTGGTACCCAGTTGCTCGCCTTGATTGAGCAGGTACAATATTTTGGTCAAAATATGTGCACATTTTCGTGGATTAACTGGGGTATCGTTAAAAGTACGAGCTTCTTGCAGTACACTCGTCTTTTCTAGATGTTGAAATGGATTGCCACCTGGATGAATAAAATAATTTTATTAATAATAATGAATAAATTTATCGAAAAATATGTTTACAGCCTGTCAAAGCTAAATTATTGCCAACGACATAACCTGCATGAGTATAGCGAAATGATTGTACGAATGATGAAAGAAACGTAATTAAAAGATAGTTTAATAACTATTGCACTCACCATCCTCCTCTTCCTTTTTCTCTCGTTTAAACGCGTTCATCTTTGCGAAAACGAAAAAAAAATTAGTTCAAAACACCGGACACGTCAGCTCTGTATTATGAACTGACGACGACACACACACTGCAGCACACAGGCTTTTTTGCAGATGTCACAATTTACAATATTGTCACGCGACAGTTACGCCGACCTTAGCCGACCGATTATAAAATAAGGTAATAGTCGAATTTTCATCCACTCAGAGGACCAGGAGTTTTTGTTGCTCAAGTACCTGCCGTTTTACGGCAACTCGTTAATGTAAAATTATTGGCAAGCTTTTTCGCTCTTGCAGAAGAGTGTGTATGGCAGTGCCATATGCTGACGCGTATCTTTATCTGTGTGGACGGAGGCAGAAAGAAAGGAGGGAGTCGAATTACGAATGTCGAATGAAAATTTCTCGATAATGTAAAAATTTAATTATTTTGATATCATTTCATGATTTTACATAAGGCATATCATCTAAATATTATGCTTTCTATTTCCCAAATCTTTTATTTGGAAAATACGTTTAACTTTGAATAAAAGAGCGCGCTCTTTTAATTAATTTGAGATCGAATAATTTAAAATAATTCATCTTAAATAACATAAATCACTCGTATGAAAGTGATTAGGAAACCTTTACAATCGTTTTACCCATATGCTCTCCCTTCAACATTTTCACGAAGGCCTGAAAAGTATTGTCGAATCCGTGAACCAGACACTCCTTGTACTTCAAGCGACCCTGGCGCAGCCAAGCTAGGGTTTGATTTATGCCCTCGCACCAGCGATGCTCCCAGCTGGACACGAAGAAGCCCTGCATCCTGAGCTGACGCCTCGACACGATGTCCTGGACCGTCGGGCATTTGGGCAACAGCTCGTAACGCCAGATGTTGCCGTGGTTGTAGCACGAGGTGCTCCCGCACACGGCGATCCTGCCGAACTCCTTCATGTGGCCCAGGATGCAGCTGGAAATTTCGCCGCCTACCTGCGAACGATCACCGTCACGACAATTACACAAATCGGTACATATCGGACGATCGGAAAATCGGTTCGCGATCGACTCACGTTATCGAAGTAGCAGTCGAAGCCGTCGGGGGCGGCATCCCGGAGCGCCGCAGCCAAGTCCTGGCAGCTCTTGTAATTGACGGCCCGATCGAAGCCCAAGTCGTCGAGCAGCCAACGACATTTCTCGTCGCTTCCCGCGACTCCGACGACCTTGAGACCGTAAATCTTGGCCATCTGACCGACGTGCGAGCCCACGGCCCCGGCGGCGCTGCTCACCACCAGAGTCTCGCCAGCTTTGGGCTCCAGCGCCTTGAGCACGAAGTAGGCCGCGTTGCCCGGCAAGCCCAGCATGCCCAGAGCCAGCGAGCTCGGAAGATCCGGCCCCAGCTCCGGCAATCGGTAAGTCTTGTGCTTCATCATGGCGTAGCCGAGGTCCTGGGACGGGTCGAAGACGCTGAGGTCGCGCCAGCCGAGGCAAGCCACCATCCTGTCCCCGACCTTCCAGTCCGGATTCTTCGACTCGAGGACCAGGGCCACCTGCAGGCCGATCATCGTCGTGCCTATTGCCATTTGCGAGCCGATCGGATGCTGGTACGGGTCGACCGAGATGTACTCCGCTTTAGCTAATACGTCTTAGGGCACACGATTCCGAATAATTACAATACTTGCCGATTACATCGACATTTGTTGAATTTTCTCTCACCTCCATATCGTAGATCCTCTAGTGGTTCTTCAATTATAGACACATCCGATTCCTGAGGCAAGCCGAAGAAAGGCTTATTAATGACCCATTTTCTTGCTATCATTGTACTTCGTTCGGCACCAACATCTAATTATCGGCTCAAATTTAGAATTACAATACTGATTACCTATACCTCTAAACTATGAATACTTCCATAGATAAATGCGTACTTCTTAGTATATTGTAAACTACAAAATATTTTCCTGTATCGATATCATTGGCATTAGCTGATTCAAATTAAGACCGTGTTTACCGATTTTGATATCAATAATAATGAAAATTTGCCGAATTTTTAATGACTTAATAAATCGATTCAACACTTCGGTTCTTGAAAAAGTGATTTTTATGATAAAAATTTCATTAACTTGAGATTAATATTAAAATCATAAACAATTCGGTCATGCTTTTTAGAGGAGATTGATTAGGAATTTATATTATTTTATTAACTATAAGTTCGAGAAAGAAATTGAAATGAGATAATTTTAAAATAAATTTATTTAATAAAAATTCATAATTGTAATAAAATACAAAACTTTAAACTTTAACAATAGCTTTTCCAGTGTTTTCGCCCTTGAGCATACCAACGAACGCATTGAACATGTTTTCAAATCCGTTGGTGTAAGTCTCCTTGTATTTGAGTTTACCCTCTTTGAGCCACTTCAAATTTTTCTCGATTCCCTCCTGCCACCTGTTCAACCAGCGTAAAACGATGAAACCCTCCATCTTCAGCTGGTGGAAAACCATAGCTGGTTGAATGATCGTTGCTTTCGGAACGTCTCCTTGGCCCAGGACCAAGTTATCATTGTACGAAGCGATGCTTCCGCAAACGGAAATCCTGCCCATGTCCTTCATCTGGTGAATGACTATGCTGGACAGTTCTCCACCGACCTGTGCGAGCGATGTAAAATATTTGGCATTTATATTTTTAGATGATTTTTTCTTTTGTACGATCGGTAAATCTCAGCCACTTACGTTGTCAAAGTAACAGTCAACTCCGTTGGGTGCTGCTTTTCTCAGAGCATCTGCGACATTTTCGGTTTTGTAATTGATAGCGTGGTTGAATCGAAGCTCGTTAACGAGCCATTTGCATTTCTCGTCGGTTCCAGCGATGCCGATCACCTTGAGACCGAGAATTTTGCCGATTTGACCGACGTGCGATCCCACGGCTCCGGCAGCTCCGCTGACGACCAGGATCTCGCCGGCTTGGGGCTTGCAAATTTCCAACAATCCAAAGTAAGCCGTGTTCCTGCAGTCAAATTTCATCGAAACCATCAACACGTACGCTCGAAGATTTTAATCAAAAATGTGAACAAAAAATTAATTATGCCGTACCCTGGCATTCCCAACATGCCCAGTGCGAGCGAAGCCGGCAAATCACCGAAGTCGGGCAGCAAATACGGCTTGATCTTGAGCAGCTGCTCGGTGGCCGGTGCCTCGGGATTGACCACTGTGTGACTGACCCAGCCGAAATTGCCCACGACCCTTTTGCCGACCGGCCAAGCTGCATTTTTCGATTCGACGATTTTGCCGACCTGAGAGCCAATCATGGTCGTGCCAGGCGGTAGATTTGCGCTGTAGGGTCGCATGTAAGGATCCACCGAGAGGTACTCAGCCTCGATCAATATTTCTAAGACAGCGATGCGATTTGTTTGTTTTTAGCAATACATTTTCATAAAATGTTAGTTTAAATTTCAATAATAAATTACTGTATGATAAATATTTGCTTCCATTTGACATTAAATTTATCGTTATATATTTTTGTTTTCTATCATTTTATTCAATAAAATCCATTCAATAATTGTTACTCGGAAATTTTTAATAAAGCGTAAATTATCAGCTATTTTACTGCGTACGTGTAATTTGTACACGCCCGAAGTAAATGAAAAAAGGGAGCGAGAGTGACGTACCTCCATCATTGACGGGTGGAAGTTCCATGTCTTGCAAAGACACATCTTCGGCTTTCGGCTCGCCAACGAAATTTTTCACCAAAACAAACTTTTTTCCCACAACCATTTTTAACGTCGATGTGCTCTTTCTCGCAGTTCAAACCGTATACTGAACCTAAAAAAATATTTGCAGTATAATGCTTACGCTATGATTGTTCGCGCCGCGAGTATCGATTATCGCCGAAGCGGCTCGAACACGGCTAAATGCCACTGATAATCGGCTCGAATTATTTAAAAACAAATCTTACGCCAAGTGGATTTTTATTAACGCTCTCTCGTGTTTGTCACGGCCAGTTTAGCGAGATACTAAACACTTGTTGCGCGAGTATCTTGTCACACAACACCACTCCTGTTTCGTCGGATATTCTTCCGAGCGATGCCGCTAGATTGCGTAAAGCTTGTTCAGATGAATGAGGATTACTATTATCTTACGTTGCTCCTGCGAAACCCAAAATTGCTACGATGTAGAATGCAAAAGTGGCGGTAGTTTGAACCATTTAAACGACCTACTTTCACTACCATTTGATGATCATCAAATCGAGGTTCTTGATGTTATCGTTCTGGTATCAACCGTAAAAAATAATATTCCTTATTTAGAAAAAATTAGACCCTCAACGAAATTTATTATGAACTCTAGATCGTTTTAGGAATGAGAAAGATTACTATGCAATCGACCCTTTGTAAAACCATTTACTGACAAATATGTTTCATAAAATTCAGCCTTTTTTCATAATCATAAAATATTCAAGAAATACTAATACTCCTTTGACGAAAAACTTTGTTATTGAACTCGTCCTCTTATATATAATTGCTCCGAGTCAAATATTTGAATACTAATATCATAAAGGCTGCACACTATTGTATGAAAAATAGCATTCAAATATCGAATATTAAATTATAGATTACAGCTCAATAAATTGTGATGGAAGAAAAAATTATATAAATAGTTTTTTTGGAAACATATAAAACACTAGAAAGTCAAAAAAGCAGTTTTAAAATCAAATACATTTAAAAAAATTCGACTCATCTATTAAAAAACGTTATATTCTTCCTTTTTAACACTTTTTTATCATTCTATTCAAAATATTGTATTCTATCTACTGTTCTTGTAGTAGTTTTAACTTAATAGATAAAATTATTATGGGTAACAATAACAGTTCACACACTTATTATTTTGTAAATCAGGTTTATTGTATGCTTCTTCCAAATAACTTTAATTATTTACAAAATAAATTATGATTTATTAGCTACAGCCTTGGGCTTGGGCAGACCTTCCCTGAAACCATTCCTATGGAAAAAATTAATAAACAGATTAATTATTGAATTACATGAACATCACAATAAGAAAAGAAGAATAATTTAAAATATCAGTTATACATACTTGAACTTCCTGCGAACAATCTTAAGATGACGCATGCGACCAGTTCCAGTGGTCTTCCTCCTCTTAGCCTTGATGCTCCAGTTGTCTGTAAATAGGTAATAGTTGAGTATTTTAAGTTGACTTTTTTAACCGGTATGTGTACATTTTTAAGAGTAATGGATTTATTGCTTTCAAAATACTATGTTTAAAAATATTTAAAAAAAGTTATTTCTCTATGACATAGTAGTCTGTAAAACTTTGAACGATCTTCATAATTGGAATTATTTGTGCAACAGGTAGTTTAGATAATAGGATCATATTAGAATAATAATACTTACAGGAACGCATCTTCTTGCTTGGGTACCCGCATTGGGCACATTGCGATTTCTGAATGTGGTAAGAGCTGCGACCACACCGTCTGCAGAGGGTGTGTGTCTTATTGCGGCGCTTTCCAAAACTGGAAGTACCTTTAGTCTATAAAAAGAAGTTAATAAAATGTTAGTTGATGTTCAATAAAATTAATGTGTAATATACAAATGACAAAACGAATTTAAACCAAGTGTACTTCAGCTCATTACTAATGAATATTTATATCGTGGTTATAACAAACAATAATAATGATAATTCAGAGTAAGTTACAGTACAAAATGAATGCTTTAACAAATTTTGGAAAATTCTTAAAATATTTAAATCATCAGTTCACTGAACAGCAAAAATTGCTAAAGCAACAAATACAAATCGCACACATGTTGGCACTGAAAAATTAACCTCCTTAATATGAAGTTTTACGTGAAAACGATAAGTTTCAACAATTAAAAATCTATTAATAAGGGTGAATTCTTGTTTCACGATATACAGTAATCAAGTTTCAGTAAGTATTTCATTTTGCACTGTGGTGATTTTTATAATTTCTTTAGATTAGTTTTTGTAAAATAAAGTTACACGCTACCATTTTGACTTTCTGAGGGGTTACACTGAAAAGATGTAGTCGGCCCTCGTGCCGACGCGGCTGGCGCACAAAGTGTAGAGTAGCTCCATCTTTCTTATCGAACTGTATTTGCTACTTTTACCGTTTTCATAATGAGTAAGAGGAGGCGATTCAAATAGGTTGTTACCTAAGTATATAAATAAAGACCAAAAAACTATCTAGAAAAAAAAAATAAATTGAAATCTTCATTTTAAAATGCACTTTGATTAGCACCGATAAATCGAGATAGCGTTGAATGTTAGATATCAATTAATACTTTTTCGTGTTCATGGTGTTTAATTAAAATTTTTATTTCTAGATGAGTGTAAATTTAGTTTTCATAATTTAAAATTTTCTCGATATATTTCTGTACAAAATTAATTACTAATAATATATAATTGTGAACATTTGAAAATTGTATCATTGATTCGAGGTAAATATGATTCACATAATTTCCACTAGACTTTGAGTATTTTTTGAAAAAGCATCAAAATTTTGATACCCAAAATAGAAAATTTTCTAATTGTATATATGTAAAGTAAAAAATCTATTATGATCGTACTAGTTTTGATATTTAATGTGGCTGCATAAAATCACTGTAATGGTTAAGTCAAAAGTAAGTTATTTTTTATAGAAATTAAAGATATTTTTGTTTTATAAATATATGTAAGAGATAAAAAATGGAAATAATAAAACCAATATCTGAGTCAAACACATACATTATTAATTACAAAATTATGAAACTATTATGATACAATTCATAAAAATGATCAGCTGTTATAAATATTATAAATATATACAGAATAAAATATTTTCAAAGTTTTTGGAAATATTTTTGACAAGTGATCAATTTATTCAATTTCCATTAGTCCATCAGTGTCAGTAAGGACCTCTTGATTATGATCACCTGAGGAAACTGTAAAATTAGCACCAACGATACAGTTTTTCAGCACGGTATCATCTTCAATTATTGCTCCATTGCAAATGATAGAATTCTCTATAACACATCTGCAAAAAATTTAGAATAATTAGTCATTTTTTAATAATAATATTTATTAACTTATAACTTACTTTTCATTAACAACAACATCATTCATTAGAACACTTTTTTGTATTCTTGTTTTTGGCTTAACAACTACATTATAACTGAAGTAACTGTTTTTGAGGGACGTTTTTTCACTAATTTGTGCATTGTCATCAATACGACAGTTTTGCAATTGTGTGCATTTCACAACAGCTTTTGACGAAATACTTGAATTTTCTACATTGCCTTCTTTTTTCAATTCAAAAATGTCAGTAGCCTAAAATATGAATAATAATATTAAATTATAGTTTTGTCACTAAATAATAATAGAATTGATTTAATACACTTACTATAGCATTTGATAAACTGTAAGTTTGTACAGTATTAGCTCTAATACAAGTTTTACCCTTTATTATGTGTGCATAACATCGAATAATATCATCATGGTATGCATTATCTAATGAATTTTTGTGGTCGTTGTATGATGACCAGTCTCTAACACATTTTTCAAAATCAGTTTTCTTTTCATTTTTAGGTTTACAAGCATACTTGAATACATTATTTTCAGGGTTTTCCATATTTTTTTCCTCTTCTTGTTGGGGATTACTCATTTGTTTTCTAACAATGTATGGCAATAGTTCACCTTTCAAAGTACTAAAACTCCTAGAAAGAAAGCATTTGAATTTAAATTGAATATTCAATCATTTCATCACATAATTATGAACTTACTTGTTTTGAACTAAAAATTTTAATACCCATTTACTAATCATGTAAACATGAGTGTCTACCAAGTGAGAGTGAATCACAAAAGTTGGATGTTTCTCTGTCAATGCACCATTCATACAAATATACTCTTCAAAATCTGAAGCTGATGCCAAAAACAAAAGACGACTAGTTTCACCAACTCCTATCAAATCAGTTTCTGGTTTTTGTTTACTTTTTGGACCTGGTCGAATAAAATCATCAGGTATTTTTGGTTGTTCAGCATATAAACCTGTAATACTTGCATCATGTGATCTATAAAGATTAAGAGTTTCTGATATATCAATATCAGTTATCAAATCTGTAGGCACAATTAACAAATCTTTATGTATCTTTTCATGTATAATTCTAAGAGAATCAGCTGTGCCTATGTCTTCTGAATCTTCCACGCCAACCACATCGCACTGAATTTTCAAATTAAGTTTTTCAATTGCTGAAATGACATCAGTTTTGACAGTTTCTGATACAACTACAATAGCATCGTTAAAACCTGATCTTTCCAAAAAATGGAGTGGATAATAGATCATTGGTAAATTAGCTATAGGTAAAAGGCATTTTGGTTTCCCAGCTGTAAGTTCTGTCATACGGCTTCCTTTACCACCAGCTAAGACGACAGCTTGAAAATCAGAATGACCCATTTTTTTGATCTTCCTGTAATAAAATTTTAATCAAATATTACAAATAAAATTTACTAACTACTAAGTATTTTCGTTGCACAATTTTTAACATTCCGAAAAAATTACGTACGTGAGCTATCAGTAAAACTTGTAAAATAATTATAAACAAATAAAATTTAAACAACTTCACAAATTATTTAATACATAATTTTTATTAAAAAATGTCAATATGTCATTATGAATCTTAACCTATTATAAAAAAGTAAATTACGTGGAGTTCCACCGTTCACAGAGAAAAGAGCTCATTCGAAGATGTCAATGACCGTCACAATCTCACGGGATAAAAATTAGCTTTTATGAAATCTCATTTCTAAATTGATTTTCTATTGCCTAGAAGTTTAATTAGAAAAGGATCATAATCTCACGGACATTTGAAATAAAATTAGCTGTAGTAGCGAAATGTAAATCTTTATAATTTAATAATAAATTTTAATGGTACGCAACATTTCGTCGATTTGAATGAATTCGTTCCTTTTTTAATGTAGAAAAGGTTTTCTTTATTTATAAAAGTTCAGTCATAAATATTATTCTTTATAAATCACACTTACATTTTTTCTTCTTCGGAGTTTTCGTACCAGCATAAGTCAAACATTTTAAAATTTCTTGAATACTCGCGACACAACACAAGAATATTGGGTGAAATTGATGAATTGGTCGCAAGATTCTTGAAAATAGAATTGATTATTTACTTGGTAAATCTTTATGAATAATTCTTGAATTAATTTTGCAAAGATGTTTTTTGCCAATTGCAGGTATCTAATCTCGGTCTCTCGGCTCGATTAGATCGTATTTGTGCGATTTTCGTGTATTTTATGACACGACCCTTTAAAAGTAATCGATACCATCGAGGCACTATTGCCTCACACGAACGACACACGGAGGGACAATACAGCGAAAATAAGAAATCGTTGAATTTTTCGAATTTTCTTATTGCCTAGCAGTTAGATGAGTTCGTTGGGTCTTGTATTCTGCAAAAATTCACCCCCACCATTACATTGGTATTTGGCGCTGTTGATCGCGAAAGTCGGATGACGTACATACACATACAAACTGCGAATTCGTGTTCGAGCTGTGTAAATGTGTAAGTATATAAACGCGAGCAGTGATTATACTTCGCTTGACTGTATATGCTGCAGTCAAAGTGCAGTCACCCACGCTTCGCCGCATTGCATGTTGTAAGACATATATAACGAATCGCGCCGAAGCCGAGGTAAAGCGTTAGTGGCATTTTCGCTAAAATATAGGAAGTGTGCAGGGAAAAAATCAGTGCGATGAGTTGTGAACTCGCGTTTGTCAGCTAGCCTACGGTGGAGAGGCGAGATTTTGTGCTGTTGTTAGTTCTAGAAAGTGCTGTAGGTGCTATAGTTCTGACTCGATGTGAACTAATGAAGGCCTCTCACAGATACAGGCGATGACCAGAGATAAAATGAGACTGCGGTGACGGCTGATGCAGCAGCCGGCATATCTGTCATCGGCCAGCAGCAACACCACCGGCTATGGCCATAGCGAGCTGGGTCATGTGGGGTGGTCGAAGTTTACGTTCAAATCGTCCTTTACGACGTAAATATCTGATTTGATTTTTCTCCCCTCATTATGGTCTTATTTGCTTCTCGTGATGATTGATTTTTTTTCTACTATTTACAGGAGCCAGACAAGACACCGAGGATTACTGCTTTGAGTTGGATTTAACGAAAGGTTAGTAACCGACAATAACTTCGATTGATTTAACAGTGCTATTTTAACTAGCTGTACCGAAATAATATTCTATGCTTCTTTTCATGATGTGAACTATTTTATAACAATACCTTTTTGTCGTTGGTGTCATAACTTGCCTACTCATTGATTTTAATGCATTGATAATCAAAGAATACGAAATTTCACTTGCGAGGTCGATGCAAGTTATTTCGTACGATGCGCATACCTTTTTTACATATATAATGTGTATTGTTTTTCGTCAAATCTTATGTGCCGTTAAATTAAAATACATAGACCTGAGTGTAAAAAATAAGTATTTGTTAAAAAAATTGCTGACAAGTGTTGAGTAGTCTTCTGCTTCATTGTATTCATGTAAAGTTATTATTCCCAACTATCATTTAGCCTGCAAGTGCAATTATTCAGTGAAAACTTTCAAATTAAATCGGACTTTAAACAATGCATGCCATTGAAAATGCGATCTCATACAATGCGTTTTATTCTGCCACGGTCTTCTAGTGCGACGAGATTGAGCTGAAAATGTATTCAAATATTTTTCAATATAGTTCATCAATGTGATTTTACTTTTCAAAATTTCTCTTTTTCACATATTTTTTTAACTTAAAAATTATTTGATCAATAACTAATTAATGTATTTTTTTGTATGTTAAAGGATTTAAAGAAAATTTGACCGAATGTCTGTTTAATGTATGCCAAGTAGATGGAGTATCTAGCTCCAAAAAATTGGCATCTCTTAATGCAATAGTCAAGCTCATAAATGAAAGTAATACTTTTGAATATGGCTTCAGTAAAGATGAATTATTTTGCTGGTAAGAAATCAAATAATAAATAACTCCTTTCTAATTCATTGATCAATAATTTTTTATTGTTTGTATAGTTTACGAGTGGGGCTGGTTCACAAAGCGACGCAAGTCAGAGCTGCTACATTAAGAGCTGTAAGATATTTCCTTCAAAAAGAACAAGATGTCATTGTACTAAACAGGCTGCAATATCCTTATTTTATTGCACGTAGTGTAGATGTAAATATACGAAATGAAGTAGAACGTTTACAAGCTTTAAGACTTGTGAGAAAAATTCTATTACTAGCTCCTAAACAATTTAGTTTTGCTCTAGCAAGATCAATAATATGCATCACAAGCGGAGGTTAACATTCAATTAATACTTGAAAGGTGTATATTAAATCATAATAATCACTAAAATTATTGTTCCCATGCAGGAATGGAAGAAAAAGATCGAGCCTCTAGAGTATTCTTAGCTATAGTTTGCGAGCTAGGTGTATTAAATCCTTACGTATTTATTAATTGTGGTGGAGTAAGCGCGCTGGCTCGTGCAAGTACAACTGGTTTGAGTCCAGCTATTAGTGAAGCTTCTATAGGAGTACTTTTGCGGTTACTTGGTGATCCAGAAACGCGAAGTGATATATCATTGTTATGCCTTGCGGCACCATATTGCGAGCTTGAATCAATCGGGCTTGATAGCACCAAAGAGGACTGGGACCAAAGGTTTGCTGCCAGCAAGTACGCCCTATTGAGTGTTCTCAGATCATATTCTGGTCTTTTACATTTTTGCCACCCACATGAAAACTCAGGGCTCAAAGCCATTGCAGATATTTTATACGTTGAACAATTGCAGGTAAAACACATTACTGTTTCAAAATTTTTTGGTAAATAGTGAACTATAATGAAAAATGTTTTATTTTCAAGGTGAGAGGTGCTGTTTTAGAGCTCCTATATGAACTGTTAGGCTTACCTTTACCTGAATGGACAGATGAACCAGATGTTGCATTAGCAGCTATCGACCCAAACAGAGTTAGAAGCTCTTGGAAATTGTCTGAAAATTTTGTAGCTGCAGAAGGTCGAACTATTTTGCCATCACTTATGTCACACTGCCCAAATATTACAGAAATACATCAAGCTTTATTAATTAATATACTGCTTGAATGTGGAATACATAAAGCTCTTGCTAAAACTATCATTTCATCTGATACATTTATATCAGTCAGAGCAGCAGTTCTTTTAGGTGCTATATTACATTTAGCTCATTCACTACTACCATCAGAGGTGAGTTGATTAAGAATTCGTTCTTTTAAAATGATTGTTATTTTTATTTGGAGTCTGCTACTGAAAATGGTATATTATTTTTTTAGCTTTGCGATCTTACACCCCCGCTGCCAATTCTCCTCGAGCAAGCAAGTTTAGGATGTCATCAAGCTCTTGCAGCCGTTGCAATTCTCAGTCGCATGCACTCGATGATGAGACGAAGACCGACGCCAGCAAGTCTTTTTATGGACAGACTATTGCAAGGTGGAAATTGGCTAAGACTATCGTCGTCGCGAGTTTTGCGGCGTCAAACCACTGTACGTACATGGCTAAAACGCGATTCTTTATTGGACAAACTGTTGCGAGAATCGCAAGTTCTAAGTGCAAAGGATGCACATTCTTGGGACTGGTTTACTATTAGATCAATCATCAGATCTAGAGATGACACTTTTAGAACCCTGCAAGACACTGAACATCGTACTTTTATCAAAAGGCTTATTAAGTAAGTTAACTTAATGAATGATTATTCGATTTATGACATATTGAAAAAAGCAAAAGATGTAGATAATTATAAAGTCGCTCATTTAAATTTACAAAAAAAGTGCTGTAAATGATTAAATTAAAAGATCCGTTATTTCTTTTTTTTTTAGGTTCTTTAAACCAACTTCAAATCAGTTCAGTCGAATTGATTTGGCTACTTGCGCTCGCATGGCGCGCGATGCTACACTCGCAGGTTGTGATCTAATTAATTTTTTGCTCGAATCTCAAGAGCCTGACGCCACGCGGTTTCTGCACGAATTGCTCATTGATATTGCTGAGCAGATTATGGCCATTCGCATAGCTGAAACCGCTCACGATGCCCTTCTTTCACCCCGACTTGTCACGACGACCTGTTGTCAAAAGTACTTCTTGTTCCTTGGACAATTGAGTCACTCGCCACATGGGACTCTGGTTCTACGCAATTTCAATTTTCTCGATAAACTTTTGGATCTTGCGATAGCAACAAAACATGACTGTTACGTTAAGCTTGTCGTTTCGAGTTTAGATTACAGTCGAGAAGGTCCAAATCGCAGAGTGTTTTCAAAGATTATTCAAGACGCGACATTAGAAAGCACCAGGATGTATGCGACTCAGTTCCTTAGGATTCTTTTTAGAACGAGAGTAAACGACGTGAGGTTTTGGGCATTCGGTTTGCTGTTGCAGCGGCTTAATGATGAAAGTAGAATGGTAGCACTTACTGCACTTGAAGCGCTTCACGAAGCCTGCGAAGAGCCCGAGTTTATCGAGGTCATGATGCGAAAATCTGAGGTAAATTATTAATTTTCAAGTTTAAATATTTTCAAAGATTCTAAAATATATTTATTTATATTTTCTACTCAAAAGTGCAAGTTAATAATTTTTATCTTAATTGAATTAAGTTCAATTCTAACTTAGAACATATTTTTCGATTATTACTCATATTGATTCGAAAGTATACTTTTGTAACCATTCAACAGGTTGTCAGTACATGGCTTCAATTCCAAATTCTAGCTTATGCCATTTAAACATTATATATTACATTAGTAAATTATGTATAATAGTAAACGTAAAATTTTCTGTCGATTTTTAGGATAAATATTTAAATAATTGGGATGAATGGCTAAATCATTTGGGAGATCGTGGACATCTCCTCAAAATCCGTCTTTATTCCTTGCGATCGGCTTTCTCCACTATGCCAGCAGTCTCGGAAGAGCTCGAGCGTTGGATTCGACCCGGCGGTCAAGCTGAACGTTACGCAGGTCTTATCGAGTGTGAGATTCACGATTCCTTAACTCGACGGCAACGTGATGAAAATGGCTGCTACTTGCGACGAATGAGTGGCACTCCTCACTCTCCAAAAGATGTATACATTCCACCGCATCTTATCGGGCAACTGGTTCAACACGATTTAGGTTTGCAACTTTTACTCAGGCGTAACATATTGCAGAGATTTTCGAGGGTAGTTCAGAGATTTAGAATTGAATCTGGAGGAAGTCAAGGCAAAGATAATTATGGATTTAGAGACGACGGGAAAGAAGATAGGAGAAGCGATATCGAGGGTAGTAATCGTTTAGAAACTATAATAGACTCAGAGGGTGAGAATACAACTCTAGAAGTAAAGGGTACACCACAAAAAAATGATCATATTTTTGAAATGAGACGAAAACTGAGTCAAGACGATTCCATCAGAACTACTCCAGAAAAAAGTTCAAGAAATGATAACGATCGGGAGGAATACATGCATGGATTGGATGGTTAGCATAATTTATTTTAAATTACATAAAAACATCTATTTCAAGAACTTAAGGAACTTTTATTCATGAAATAATATTTTTTGTTTTATGCAGCTCGGATTCTGAAAGTCAAATCAGCTCTTTGGGCATTAGGACATGCAGGCACTTCTAATTTAGGCGTTGAACAACTCATATCATTGAATATCATTGAATTGATGACGACAATGGCTGAATCTTGTCCTCATTATTCAGTACGTGCGACTGCCATGTATGCATTGAGTTTGATAAGTACAACTCGTGCTGGTGCAGAAATTTTAGCTGCTCATGGTTGGCCTTGTGTTCGTCATAGTCGAGCCGAACATTGGCCAGTTGTACAACCCATCTCTGGTAGTTTTACGCTTAATAGGTCACCCAGTCCTGTGCCAATGCAAAGAAATCAACGAAGTTTAAGTGATAGCAAATCCGAATTGCCTGAATCCGTTGCTGCCTTGAGAAGACAAAGGAATCGATCTGAAAGTGCAGCAGCCGACCTGGAACCCCCAAAAAGGTATCCACTGCCAAATAGAGCTGAAACACCGAGTCCACTATCCAGTGTGCAAAAGCTCAGTCAACAGGACGCGGAGGGTTACGCGAAACTGAAAAGCTTGCAAAAACACCGTAGGCCAAGCTTTTCACACAGTAGTCTTGAGGTAATGACAGTGCTGAGCATATAATTAATCAAAATTTTAAAGATAATTAATTGAAGAATTTTTTTATAGCAAATATCAGATGGAAGATTATCGTTACAAAGTCTATCGGAGTGTGATTCAAATCGTAGTTTATTAACCGATCCAACTTTTGAGTTATCAGCTTCACCTAAGCATGCAACGACTAAGCAGCGTAAAGTCTCAACAACTCAAGAAGAAGGCGACGACACTCGGCCACGATACAGGGGCATAAGTTTACCTATAAAACTCAGCGTAATATTCCCCGAAGCTACGCCAACCGATGTTATGCTTGAAAAAATCAACAGAGTAAGGCCTAGCCAAGAACTTCGAGCAGCTCAAGTGAGTAAAATCAAAAAAATGTTACTACATTTTTCCATGAAGGTTTTCTTAATTTTGTGATTCAATTGTAGAGTGCCAGTACGAGTGATTCGTCAATATTACAAGATGAATTATTTCGGACTCCAACTCGGACCTTGCGCGATGATGCTAAACAAAATGATAGTGGTTCTGATTATGTGTCAACTAATCCGATGATTTTAGAAGAATTTGCTAAAGCCAACGATGGTGACAATGAAGGTGCAGCCGTGCCGGAAGCAAGCACGAATAACAGTAACTTTGATTCGAACAACAGACTTGCCGTGCCTAATAGTCGTCAACAAAATAACAGCATTAGTGATATTGACGAAGAGTCGTGCAGTGAGTATGAACAACCGAGTGACCATTCCAGGCTCTGCTTGGTATGCTTCCGAGAAAGAAGCGCATCCGGTGATATATGCACAGTTGAGCATGATTTTCGGCGGACTATCGATAAAAATCGGCGGGATGTTTTGAAACATGCTCAGCGTTTGTCCAATCCAGTATACTATAGGCAGAGCAGACAATATCTACTTCGATTGAGACAGCAGTATCCCGAAGTCTTCCAGGTCAGAACAGTTTCGATTTCTTATTTGGTTATTTGATAAAAATATATTTATGGCTTTTTGTCATTTCAGGATGCATGTGTTTACTCGGAAGTTGCTGCTCGTTTGGCAAATAATACATATAGATTACAGGCGAGAAGATTTCTCCAAGAGTTATTTTTGGATTCCTCTTTCCCATTGGTAAGTTAAAATGATTAGTTATGATTACAACCAACTGCAATAATTAATTCTTAATATTAAATCTTTAGCTTTACGAAGAACCGCTAACTATACTTAAATCAGTTGTGGATGCATCTGAACAGAACCAGGCATCTGGTGTTAAAAAGTCACCTGCATCTTCGGAAGACAGTTTGCCGCATCATTTGGTAGTCGAAGCAACTGTCGAGACTAAAGTGAATGGAAAAACGATAGGCAAATTAGATGAAAAAAATGTTGAATCTTTAGCAGATATGCCATTAGAATTACTTCAAGCAGATGTAATGCGCCTTGACGAAGGCGATGCTTGTGGCATAGACGAAAAAAATTCGAATAGCGATTCGTCAGATTCTACAGAAGGGAAATTCACCTACAACAAGACTCAACTTCGAACAACGGACGAAATGATAATATCGGAAATCCTCAAACCTGAGGAACGACTGAAATCCAAGGCTACCGATAAGATACCCAAATCAGGGGGGATCAAGACTGCATTTAGCCTTGAATAAAATATTTTAAATCAGCTGTATATTTCTTAAACCTATATCAATTATTTGGTTGTAAAAATGAAATTTTGTACATATTTTGTAAGTTAAATAAATTAGGAAAATAAATTTATTAATTATAATTTCAATTAAATTCAATTTACATAATTTTCAATGCACTTGAATTTTCACCCTCGAATATATGGCAGTCACTCAATGATTAGAGATACTGGTATTCTGTATAGCATACCTTTGATCAGTTTATTGGCAAATACTTATAACTAATAATAAGACGTTTGTATAATTTCAACTTGTTCAAAATTAATCACGAATAAATTATGAAGGGTAAAATTTGAAGAAAAAATTGAATTAGTGGACAATTATGGTAAGCTGCACTCGTATTACTATCATTTGGCTCGACGGCCAACGACGTAAAAAACGACGCGCAAGCGCTCGCGAACCGAGTCGAGTATTATTACCTGTATAGAAATTGCTGGCAAACGGACAGCAGCGGCTATTTAACTCGGTGTCATTAGTGCAGATCGTCAGTCCGTTGCAGCTTATTGAGCTCGGAGTACGGGGGAGAAAAGAGAGGAGCAGCTACTCGCCCGAAGAGCGGCAAAAGCTTTCGACCGATCCGAATCTGCGCGCGAGAAACGATCCACGAGAGACGCGCCGCTTCATGAATCGAATATCGCACCGAGAAACTCGACTGTAGAACCTGCGGCTTTGGTTCGTTATTCCAAGGGCTTGGCTGAGGTAGTGCCGGAAAACCAAGGGCACCCTCGAGACCAGGTACTGGCTTGAGCTCCTTCACTCGCCAATAAAAGGGCGCGAGAGCCGACGAGGTGATGATTGTGCAATTGCCGATAACTCTACGCCCACGCAAACGCCAGAGGATTAAGAATTTTATAAATCTCAGTCAAGGAGGATAAATCCTTAACAGTTAATTTCGTTATAATTACAAATTTTAACGAAAGTAATAAAATTTTGCATTTCTTCGTCGTGCGGAGCTACTTGAAAAGTCTCCGACGATATTTTCCGAGATCGAAATCGGAAGAGAAAAGGAGCTAAGTAAATAAAGGGATAAGAAAAGAAGTCAAAAGGTATCGGGAGATAATCGAATTTACGAAAGCTGAAGGAATGGGTGTAAAGAGTAAAATATTCGGTGAGTTTCCTTTGTACCGAATTGTCTATTTTGAATGCCGTATGCTTATTTCGACGATTTTCATAAGCATGTATGTTTGTTAGTCTTTCATTGCCAAAAAACTAAAACAACGCATATACCTCAAATACGTCACGAATTAGATTATTTTTGAGCTCAATTCATGAATGTGAAAAATAATCATTGTGTTTCGTTTCTTTCGGTGTTTATTTTATATTAAGAAACAAAAAAATGGGAATCCATTTTTTAAAGTTATATTTTATTTTACGGGTGGAATTTTAGATTTTGACTGACAATGTGTATACTGTTTAAATCTCAAGCTTCGAAAATCATAATAATTATAAAAACTAACTAAAGTGGATTTCTTGTATCGAAATCGAGACGTAAATCTAATATTTTGAAAAATACTTCTGTTGCGAAAAAGTAAAGTTTTTTAGGCTCGTATTATCCTTTCAGAGGTCAGTATCCTTCACAAATGTTTGTTCAAATCTTTTCTACTTTTGTATCGAAGGTTGTGCATTACTAACTAATGCTTATCTCCCTTATCTTCGGTATCAAGATTCAGTAAATATTTTTTTAGTATACTCAAACACATAAACATGTAAATATAAATATAAATATTATTCACTCAACACATTCTCGTAAGTTCTTGGCCTTTTTTCTTAGATAACAGAAAATGGTTGAAACTTAGTCTTTCAATTGAAATTATTATTGTTATCATTTGATATTATTAATTATTTTTAATAATAAAATTAATTGAGTTTTTTTAGGTAAATATCTTCTCATTACCAATACGTTGAGTTGCGGTGTGATGATGGCTGCCGGGGATATTTTTCAACAACGTAGCAATTTTTTGAAGAAGCACATGGCCAATCAAATCGATCAACAACCGGTCAACGACCAAACTACAGCTATATCAGTGATGAATTGCTCAAATCAAAAAAGTAATAACGACCCCGAGAGGCTCGAATTACTAGTCAGAGTAGTGGATAAAAATGAAGTCGATAGCAAGACATCCAACAACTTCGATTTCGTTCGTTGCCGCAATATGACAGCCGTTGGATTACTACAAGGACCTTTTCATCATTACTTTTATGCATTTCTCGAAAAGACGCTACCTGGCAAGAGTACAGTATCGATTTTCAAAAAGACTCTCGTCGATCAAACCATTGCAAGCCCCACGTGCTTGGGAATATTCTTTTTCGGACTAGGGCTTATGGAGCAAAAAAATTTGAACGATATCAATGGAGAAGTAAAACTTAAACTGTTGGATACTTGGAAGGTGAGTTGCTAATTTACATTTGATAATATCGATTAACGAATTCACCATAGAATGCGACGAGAAATTTCAACGATTTTATAATCAAAATGGTTCATCAAATGCATCATTGTATAATAAGAGATTATTATCACGTCATATCGGAAGTGAACAAACTTTTACCTTATATCGTTGCGCTTGCGTTATCACGATTGAAATACTCACATTACCCTGCTAAATAAAAATAACAACAGATCGAATTAAATAATTTTCTTTATTTGCATTGTAACATGAATTACGTTCTTGAGCTAAATTTAATCGTCAAAATTGTGTACCAATGCGACAGGTTGATTGCATGTTCTGGCCACCGACGCAGTTCATAAACTTTCTTTTCGTTCCCATCCAGTATCGAGTGATTTACATCAACCTTATGACTATGATCTACGACATATTCTTATCTTACATGAAATACGTAAGTATTGTACCTTTTTAACCCCTCACAATTTCTATTCCAAACATCAATTTATATTCAAATATTTTTTAGGATGCTCATTCTTGAAGTAAAACGACGATTATAGGTAATTCCAATCGGAGTTATCCAAAGGTGATGGAAAAGGATTTATACTAAAAATATGGGATAATAATAACAGTTAAACAAAAAAATCTAAATAAAATTATTTACAGATGATATTAACAAAAACAATAAAGTTGATTACGATAATCTTTTTAAAATATATAAAGGACAATTAAATCATTGTATTTCAGCTTTTTATTATACTTATGAATGACATTTTTCGTTTAAAAAAAGAATTACAGATATGCAGTTTATTAATAATCATGCGTTGTTTGCGCATCGAGGGAATAAACAAAAAAATAAGACTATGCGACCGTAATCGCGCCATATATTTGTTTAAAAAAACTCTCAACTGTTGAATGGCATAGAGAAGCACGTGAAAATATCGGCACGAGATATCCGACGCATTGTACCCGCATGTATAAGGATGATGAGCTGCGATAGCAGTCGATTGTTTAACTATCGGCGTCGAGTACTTGTAAATTTTTCCTATACATTAAAAGTTCCTATCAATCTGCGTGCGTCGGACGCCAGAGCGCAAACACGCATCTGCGCCAGTAAAAATGGTATAAACAATATAAAGATCGGATCTTTTATCACTGATTATGAAAGTCGTTGAGATATATCGCACGTGTTATAATTATGCTATAATATTGGTAGATGTATCGCGGCTTCTATCATTGCGCTACTGCAGCTGCTGATTTTGCCGAAAGAGCACCGATTTCCGACGAAAAATTGTGCCGGAAAATTGTGTCTTGCTTATCTTCCGCTTGAAGTAGGTGGCGTGGACCAATCGATATCCAAACCTGGATGACTGCTTTTATTCGTCGCGTTGTGTCTCATTTCTTCTCTTATGAAGTCCAGATAGTACGAAACATTGACCCACACGTCGGGTTCAACTCCACTTGCGCACTCCTCTGCCGAGGTAGAAGTAATGCCTAGCAATACTTTTTTACGGATGTCCACCAGAGGACCGCCGCTATCTCCCTGAAACACATCGAATGATTCATAAATTAATCTGTTCGACGAGATGAGAAAAATGACGAATGACATCGTTTGATGCAACTTACGTAACAGACTCCGTAACCCTTGGTGAATTTTGTGCAGATATTGTTGAAGTACGTGCGGTTCTTGAAGGAACTTTCACAATCAACCGTTTTAGCGTAAAAATATTTCAATTTACCATCGTAATAACTTGCGCTCTGTCCGAAGCCAGAAGTAATAACGAACATGCCGTCTTTGACTTTGGATGGTTTGCTCGGCACCGCTATCGCTTGTACATTTTTAGAGAATTTGACCGATTCGTTGAGCTATACAAATGATTTTTGTAATAACAAAGTTTATTTGATAGACTGGATAATTAATTTAATTACTCACATGAATCATTGCGATGTCATTTCGCACTAATTCTGGTTCTGGTCTCATAATCAAAAAGAAATCCTTATGATGCGACATACGTTTGATGCCGTATTGCTTTCCAGTTCCAACTTTAATGGAGCCCACCTCGATGGTATAATAATTTTTTGTGGTATTACGGTATTCCTCCGACAAATAATTCATGACACAATGGGCGGCAGTGAGCACGTGTCTCGGTGAAATTAATACTCCTCCACATACTGATACTCCGTAGGTATTGAAAGACACCTGATAAGGAAATTCGCCAATCTTTGCTACCTCTCCCTTATTAATTATCCGAAGTTTCACGGAATCATCGGAATCATCGGAGCATACTTGAGAAAGAAGAAGATGTAAATTACTTATACGAACTTGAAACATGAGTTGGAAAACGAAATTGAAATATTCTTACCTGCAACTACGAAGACGAAATACAATAGTGCGATAGCGGTCTTCATAATGGACGAATTTTTAATTAAACTTGTGATCTGAAAGTATCATCGGAAATTGATAGGTTAATTTCCTGATATTGAATAAACTGCAGTAATGACTAAATATAACACTTGAAAAGTTATTCAGATTATCGAAACAAAATAATATTATAAAAATAAATAATAATGCAGCTGAACGAACTGATCAAAGGGATGTGTACTACTATTCTTTCGTTGCGTGAGCAATGTATTTAAATACTGTGGACGAGACTTATTGTGATCGTAATCGGGACGAGTAATTTTGATAAAATTAACCGGCTGATAACAATTTGCGGCTGGGGATAAAAAGATTAAAAATGTTTATGACTCTACTTATTTACGGCCATGGAGCGTGAACCCTTCAAAATTTGCTCGACTGGTACTCTCACAGGTAAGCCTATCGAGAGGCCACTTTTTATCAACCAATCGCAGGACGTCTAACTTCATCTCTATATTAAAATCGTGATATTACTTTATTGAAAAACTTGGGTGATATATATCGAACACAGCTGATACATCGCTAGATGACTTTTTATCAAATTTCGATGATTAGTATTAGCAATCGAATGTACATTGCGAAAAAAGATTGGCTCCGAGTATCATCAGCGCGTGAAAATCTGATATACTAATTAATATGATAATTCATTTATAGAAATGATTCAGTGCCCCTAAAATTATCAGCATAGTGTTTGTGTATTATAGATAAGCGATAAGTATGTGAATATTAAAAATTATACAAAAATATATTGTTACTTTTGCCAATTTAAACGAGGAAGTGAATGTGTGTACGTGAGGTAAATAAATGAATTTTCGAAGATGTAATCGATTATGCCTTTTTTCAGAAAAAACTAATGCGTACATTTCTCAAAAATGCTATACACCATAACGTACGTAATGCGCACTGACATACGTTCTGAAACTTTTCATTATATCATTTGCTTTCGATGGCTAACGTATTCACGACCGTAATATGAATATCAAAGTTCGTGCGAATCGATAATTTAAAACGGCTATGTAAAATGAAAAAAATAAAAATCATGGTTAAATTTAAAACAAATAATTACGAATTTCGTCGTGTTAATTGATTGTGAAAAATATTCGAAATTATAGAAAATGAAACTGTTACTTTTAACCAGTGAAATAATGAGACGTTATTTGCTGTTGCTATTACTCGTCGAGTTAATATCCTCGATGGCGATACCAAGGCCCTCAGCTTACAACGCAGAAGAAATTATTGCACATTCAACGAGGTACATTGATTCCATAAACCCAAGTCCATTGGATTCCCGAGTGAAAGAAGTAGAGATGCATACATTGCTCACTGTGAAATTCTCAGCGATGAATAATTATTCGACTAAAGCCGACGATGCTCGATCGTTAATGCGCTTGAAAACGCTGGAAAATATTGAGAAATTGCCAAATATGACAACAATTGCTAATCTTCTTTATGAGAGTGTATTGAGGAAGTTGGAAAATCTCGATAAAAATAAGAATAACAATGGGATCAATGTACCGGATTTGAATAGTATTGTACAAGTGATAAAGTGCATGATTTATGATGAAAATTCACCGACGTTAAATAAACTTTTTAAGTTATTGGAAAGTGACGTAAAAAATTTGCGATTACAAATGGAATCATTAAAATCAAAAACTACTTTTCACAACCTTGATCTACACGCGAAAATGAGTATGTTAATATAAAATGCACAGTACAAATACTATTTTATCGATTTGAAACTGAAAAAATTTGCGGTTTTAATGTATGTTGAATAAAAACGTAAAATTGCATTGACTTTAAAACTTGCATTGCAGGTACACAAGAGAACAACTTAAATCGACAAAAAAGATCGAAAAATGATGTTCTTGCGAATGTACTTCAGAGTAAACTGTCAATGTCAACTCCAGGAAAAAATGCAGACAACAAAAATAACAGGAGTTTCGAAACAAGTAATTCCATAGGAAATAAATCGAAGAAAAATAAAATTTCTTCCAATCTCACAGAAGTTTTAATCAATGCAGGATTTGATCAATCCACTATAAAATCTTATTTGGCTAAACAGGTTGTTATTTAATGAAGAAATTTTTGTTTATTTGTTTAAATAATGATCTGACAACTGCATTTCAGGTGAAGTTGAATTCTAAAAAGAAAAATAAGTCAATACAACGAAAGAAAAGCTCTGACAATCATATGGATGATGACGAAGATGATTATGAAGACGATAATAGTGGTGCTATTCAAAAACAAACTTTCGACGATGTTTTTCCAAACATAGATTACGTTGATGTATGGTAAAAAATCTACTTTGTGTTTTTAACTATAGAGAAAAAGAGCTATTTTTTATTTAATCGCAGAACGATGAAGGGTCTTTGGGATCAATAGAAGATCTGTTACCTTTATTTCTTCCACTTCTCGAAGAAATATTTGAAAATGTTAGTGCATTAGTTAGTTATTCTCTTTTCTTACACTCGATATTTTATTTGGCATTTTCTCAATTTTGTAGCCTGATACTCTTGTGGATTTAGCCGATATATTGCTGGATAGTGCCGGTCTTTTTGCAGACATCGGACAAGTGAGTTTATGATCGATTTCACCAAAATTTTGATGGATAATTTCATCTGTGTTTATATTTATATTTACAATTGTTTGTTAATTTTGTTTTAGGATCTACTTGTCGCTTTCACACCAGATTCACTCAAAGTTACAATACCGATTATACTTAATTTATTAGTAGTAAGTTATTTGTCGCTTTATTCAAGTGAGTTACGTAATCGTGCACTAACGATCATAAAAATGAATTCTGATTTAGGGTAAGGATGGCATGGGTAGCGACGTAGGAGCTGTTTTGGGTCCTTTGATTCAACTTATAGGCCCCTTGATTGGTCCACTGTATGGGCCACTGTTTGGCTCGTTGTCTTCTACTTATAGTGGAGTAAGTATTGTAAAAAAAAAATCTTTATAAGCCGGTGATTTTTGAGTCACTATCATGAACGATTCGTTTCAGCCACAAGCATTACCCATCGCAAATGTTCTTGCATCTTACTTTGGATATTTCAGTGATGTAACGTAAATTATTGTTATTAAAATTTTTGTTGATAATTATTCAGGTGAAACTTTTCAATATAATAATATGACCTTCAGGAAAGATACGGCGGAGATTTGGTATCAACATTAACGACGTCTCTCATCAAAATCATTACTAAAGTAGGGGCTATCATTACAGTGGCTCTATAATTTTAACTTGTAATTTTTTAATGTTAACATTAATATAGGAATTATTTGGGCCAAAATCGAACTTGGACATCGAAGGCTTCGTGATGCAAGCAGTAAAAGGTACATTGAGTGGGTTGAGCAGTGGATTGAGTGGTGGGTCCAGTGATGGTACGAGCCAAAATCATTATGCGTATGGGCCACCGGCTCCAAGCCAGAAAAAACCGCCCAATGTCAATATTTTTCGTCCACAAGCAAGACCGATCAATACGAAGATGCCAAGTCGTCAATTTAATCAGCATTAGCTACTTCATGATGTACCTAAAAATATTCATTAAAATTTCAATATTTATGATACCTATTTACAAGTATTCCTTCACGTGAGATTCCTTTTTGACAATTTACTTTTCTGAAAAATATTAACTATGTTTTAAATAATTGCCAAGTTTAAGACTGTTTCGTGTGACGAGTTTACGCGATATCAAAACAGAACATTAGAAATATTATCAAAACAATACCGATCAACATTCAGTTGCAAACAAATGTAACTCGTTTATTATCAAACTTGAGTAATTAATGTTTTTAATGGTAAGGTTTAAATGATAAAAATATGATTTTTATGATAAAACTCAGAATCTCGCTATCCCTTGCATGTTAATTTCAATTTTTTAAATAAATTTATTCGATAAATGTTGTTGAAATCGGGAGAGCATATTTATAATATTTGAAACTATCCTAAGAATTTGAAGAAAAGCATATTATTTTATCTTATTCGTCGATGATCGGTTCTCACTGCCTGCGAAATCGGTTGAGATTGTTTTTCCATAGATGAATAGATTTAAAATAACCAACGGTCATTCGAATCGCGTGTTGCAATCCGATCTCAGGATTGGACTCGTTCTCTCCGATCGCCAATACCCAGAATAGGTCGCAGGCTTTAGGGCAGAAAAATGAGAGATGTGCGAATTTTTATTATTGTAGACACGACTTAATTAAAGTTATGAAAGAGCGACGAATATGGCAATTGCGGCCCTGTGGTTGGCTGCGGTCGTAGCCCTACACATAGGCGCGATATGAAAAACGCAGCCCGGCGAGAGATCGTTGTAAATCTACTTAAATATATAAAAACCGCCTCGTCGGATTTCGCTGATTCAACGCTCGGCGTCGCGCGCGCGGGGCCTGTACCAAGTAAAGACGAGTCGGTAAAACTGCTATACGCGCGAAATAGCGTGTCTGTTCCCGGAGCGTCGTTGTCGTTTAGCGGGCTCGAACGCGAGAAAGAGAGAAAGAAAGAAAGAAAGAAATTTACGTTGTTACATATATAGGTATAGTTGCGACAGTTGCGAGTCGTTGGTGTATTGTCGGCGGCGAACCGAATCCCGTGAGGCATAAAGCGCGAGTGGCGGGCAGCTGCACACTACAACAAAGTCTTTCCTACCATCAGTTCGCCAGATACACACGTATCGTATATAGGAGCGACTCGCTGGTCTCCGACTCTGCGTGTGATATTACGACCGTAAGCGGCTCGACACTGTAACATATATTTTAGAATAAATCGAAGGATTCTAACGAGTTAAGAATGTCGGCCAAGAGGAAAGGAGCCAACCCCAAGAGCAAGAAGAGCAAAGCTCGCAAGGTCGAGTACGACGAGTCGGACATCTCGAGCGAGCACGAGTCCGATGTCGAGGACGAGCGTCAAAAGAATCACGACGGTGCCCACGCTGACGGGGATGGCGCCGCCGCCTTGGAGGACATCACCGATTACTCCAGCATACCGGAATTGCCAGCCCCCGAGGTACGATATCGATGCACTTTTGCCATCGACGACCCCGCGTCTTATACCCGCGCTCTATTGTGCATCTTTTTTTTTTCCTCGTTTCTATATATACATGTAATGCGTACGTAAGGCCGTTCACCGTTACGGGCTCTTTGTACACCACCATCAATCTCTTCGCGTCCTTTTTACGCTGTATACGTTCTCGCGTTTCTCCTTTTTCTCTCGCTCCCTCTCTCTTTCTCTCTTTCACATTACTCAAATATCCATCTCTCTGTCTTTGTCAGCCACAGCCGGCTTTTTGCAGGTTAATATTTTGAATTCTAAGCGCGCTTATTTTTAATTTCGTTCGACAATGTTGTGGCTTATGTTTATTTTTTCTTTCGTATGTCGTTACATTTAAAAACTTGTTGAATAAATAACATTGATCAACATGTTTACTTTCAATATCTGGTATAAATTTTTAATAATTAATAAACTGTTTTGTTCATAACAACTTTTTTTTTCCAAATTAATACAGCTTTTGTTAATTTATTCAGCCATCGTTCATATTTTTAATAGATATATTTATTTCCTTAGGGTGGATGGGGAAAGGCAGGTACTCTACTTATGTGTGGCCTTACCAATTGGGAATCATCAGGTCGCAAATCAATGCCTAAAGGAGCAAAGATGATTGGCAGAAACTTATGGACTCCTCATACTTTTAAAAATTTGAATGGAGCTAGAGTTAGGCTGGTTGCCTCAGGACCATCATCTGCCCACAATGTCATAGTTACAGAAGATAATAGATGCTTGGTATTTGGAAGAAATGAAAAAGGTAATTACAAATATACTTTTTTTTAATAAAATATTATATTAATAATTTTTTTTGTCAACAGGTCAATTAGGTGTTGGAGATGATAAACGAAGAGACGATCCTACAGAAGTTGAAGCATTGAAAGGACATACTGTAATCGGAGCTGCTTGTGGTCGTCATCACACACTGTTTTTAACAAGTCGTGGTATTGTCTTTGCAGCAGGAGACAATAAACTTGGACAGTGTGGAGTTGGATCAAATGAAGAGAAAATTCTCACAGCAACCAAAATTAAGTATACTGGTCCTCCTATTGTAAAAGTAGGCTGTGGAGCTGAATTTTCTGTAATCCTTGATGTTAAAGGTGATGATAATTTTAAATTTAAATTAAGCTATTTTATAATTATACTTATTGGTATTTTTACCTATTTCAGGGGGCTTACATTCATTTGGTTGCCCTGAATATGGCCAACTTGGCCACAATACTGATGGCAAATATTTCATCACTAGTACAAAATTGGGTTTTCATTTTGAAAAAGCTCCCAAACGGATTGTTATCTATGTTGAAAGAACTAAAGATGGTCATGTAACTCCACTTGATGGTGTAGAGATTTCTGACTTTAGCTGTGGTTTTAATCATACTGTAGCTGTTGACAGCAAAAATCGAGCTTTCTCTTGGGGTTTCGGAGGTTTTGGTCGTCTAGGGCATAATGAACAACGTGACGAACTTGTGCCACGACTTATAAAATTCCTAGAACCTCCAAATCGTGGCGTTAAAGCCGCTTTTTGTGGTAGTTCATTCAGCTTGGTTATTAATGTTCATGGAAGTATGTTACTGTTTGGACAAGCAAAACGTACGGGTGAGGCTAATATGTACCCAAAACCAGTTCAAGACCTTTCAGGCTGGGACATCAGATGTGTTGCTTGTTCCCAAACTAGTATTTTAGTAGCTGCTGATGAATCTGTAATTGCTTGGGGTGGCAGTCCTACATATGGAGAATTAGTGAGTTTTTATATCTTATACTATTAAAATTTAAATTATTTCTGTTTCAGAAAACTTAACATCCAATGATTAAATTTTTAGGGTTTTGGTGAGATGAGAAAATCATCTACAACTCCAATGGAAATAAAAGCTTTGGAAGGATTATACATAACATCTCTTACTTGTGGTATTTCTCATAGTCTTTTTATTTGTAGAGATGAATCAGATGAAGAAAAAGCTAAAATTGCAAAGCTTCAAGAATATTCAGTATAAAGTAATTAAAAGATTTACTCTCTCAAAATATAAATTATTCTTTAAGTTATTATTTTTAAGAGTTATAGAAGTGGTTTTTTTATAATGTTTCATACTTTTAATTTGATTAAAAGTTTAATTTTCAAAGTTACTCTTAAACAAATTTGTGGGGTGCTGTTAAATTTTGAATCTAAATAAGATGAATTTTATTTTGTCAATGCCCTAAACTTATTTTTTACTATTCTGTGTACTTCCATTTTTTAATGCATAGAATACCATATACAACGTTTTTGTCTGTTATTAATAGTTCCAAAAAAATTGCAAAGCCTATATTTTGATACAATGATTCTTGATAAATATTTTCAATGTATATGTGTATGTAATGGTTGTTTTAGTCAAATGTGCTGGTAAACTTGAAAAAATTTATAAATGTTTTGTGATAAATCTTAAATTTTCCAAAATCTAATTTTTGACGTACACATTTTAAAATTCACCAAAACATTAAAACATTAAAATTCGTTGTATTGTTTCAAAAATGAACTCATAGTCTAATTTGTAATGATTTGTAATGATGTATGATCAAACTACATCATTTTTTATTTCTAATCGACAAAATATTAAGAATTAATTTAACACTATATATCTGTTGCTTATTAAAATATTATAGAACTTTTGAATCCCATAACTTCTGAGTAAAAGAATTCTGGAAAAAGATCTAAAATTATACAGAGCTTCTAATACTACAGATTCTACGTTTATCTGATGAATGCAGTATTTTTAATATTAATATAATTATCTTTAATTTTTTATTTGCTTCATTAATGAGAAAATGTATACTGGAACCAGTCTCAGATTGACGTCTTCTAAGTTATTTGTCTATACTTGTGATTAAAAATAAGTTAGTAACAACCGAAACAAGCGTATAAGCGTTCTGACATGTGATATCCTAAATTAAACGATTGTCACAGCTCATACTAAATGCAGTTCTATAGCATTTGAAATATTTTTGGTGATAAAAAATGTATGGTTTGATACTAATAAAAGAATTTCTACAACTTTTAACAAGACTCAAATTAATATAAAATTTTGATCCTTAATTTATCCTCATTTAATTTTATCACTCGATTGAATTACACCGTCGGAAATTTTATTTTGTAAATCACAAATTGTTTCCATGGAATATGTCCTTTCTTTATCCGCCGTCTTCACGAAGTCCAATATTTCGTCCACATCATCGGTATCAACCTTTTTAGCCTTCCACTGAAGAAGTTGACACGCCATGTAGTGGACGGGGTTCTTGGGACTATTTTTCAATACTTTTGTGGTAGCCAAGATGAGAGGGACCATCAAATGTTTTCTATAAGGTTAATATGATTTTATAATGTTTAAACTGATGAGTTTTTTAAGCAATATTTTACTTTAAATAATTAAAATCGTCTAAAACGAGCTCATCTTTCGTTTCATTGTTCTGCTCCTGTGAAAGATTTTTATTTCTAGACTTATTAAAAAGTGATGAACAAGACATAATTATAGGGTATTTTTTTGCACAACAGAAAGGTTTGAAAAAACTAAATACACTCTTTTGTTTTGCTAAAAAAATTGTCGTTTTATTCTTGAAATCTGGCAATGAAATTTGGAAATTTTTTTTGTTAATAATCAGTCTTAAGATTACTTATAATTAGTTGAGTTATACGAAAAATGTATTTTTGAATTCGAGTATCGATCTAACCGCTCATGATATAAAACTTTACACTTTCTTTATTTTATCAAAGGACCTTTTTTTCAATGAAAACGAAAAAGCCTTGCTGTAGGTACTGAAAATTCGATATAGTTTCATGTTACTCTAATTATTTTTGAACTGCAATTAAGTTCACTAGATTTTTATAAACTCATAAAGTATTTAATTTTTTTTTAAGTATATGATTAACAATTATAATGTTTACTTAGTTGCATGTATGTTACATATTCAAAATTTCATAATGCATTGTAATGATATGCGCATATCAATTAATTTTGAGTTATAAAAGCATCACAAATTACAGTTTATAAAACATTCATTCTTAACAATATTAAATATTCTAATGTAAAATTTTTCATTATGATTATATAATCATCATTTCTTCATTTAAATTTTTTATTTGTCTAATAACTGACCATAAAATTTCAAGTTCAATTGAAGAATAAAAGCAAAAAGTAATTAAAATATTTTTTCAATGAGTTTTGAAAAGCACTTGTTAAAATGATTTTAGATTCACTACACATAATTAACTTTTGTAAAAATTCATGTTAAACTACAATAACTAGCAGTAACAACTAGAGTATGTGTTGTCTGGTTCATAATCATCAGTTAGCTGTATTCCTCTTTTTCCTAATCTTTGCCTTGGTCCATTGTTGCTATTCATATTGTTTAACGCTTCATAAGAGTATCCATCCCAGAGACCTGGAGTCTGAATAATCTGAAATATAAAATAATATATAATGTGCATTTGAAAAGAATTTTTTATTAATTATTCGCAGAATATTAAACATGTATTAATTACATACTGATAGATTAAAAATTATTCTTTACCTTTTGTACTAATTCTTCAAAACAACACATTATACCATCAGCAGTTTTAGCACTACTTTCAATATATAGAGTTTGATGACGTCTTGCAAACTGAAGTCCTTCTTCAGTAGTTACTTGTCTATTGGGAAGATCTATTTTATTTCCAACAACCATCTTTACAATATCTGGTTTATTGCTATAAGTGTGTAATTCAGTCAACCACATATCCAGTTTTGTGAATGAGGTTCGATCAGTAACATCAAAAACTAAAATAGCTCCCTGGCCATCTCTGTAATAGTTAGGAGTTAAAGTCCTGAATCTTTCTTGCCCAGCAGTATCCTAAAAAGATTATAAAATTTGAACATCTTTGAGATTAGAGAATATACAAAAAATTATGATATTTACCCATATAGCCAATTTAACTGTGCCACCGTCAATGGACATTTTCTTTGATTTGTAATCCATTCCTACGGTATTTTGAATGTTGTCGTGAAATTCATCTTCCGTGAACCTTAACAAGATACTGGAATTCAAAGAAAAAAATTTCATATCAGAAATACAATTTTAAATATTATTTAATAAATAATATATGTCAAGAATGAATGTAAGTGGAATCATACCTTGATTTTCCTACATTAGACTCGCCAATCATAAGAATTTTCAATATCGTCAGTACGTCATCTTGATCCATGGTTGCTCTAGACGACCTTGATGAATTCTCGGCGAAACTTCGTCAACGTTGAAGATAATTGTCAAGTGTGTATTGCAATTTTCGGTGCGTCACAATATACGAAACGAAGTCGTCGTGAAAGCGCGATTAGCACTTACGAATCTTCCTACTAAAGTTGCACAAAGCTGAATCGTTGTGTCTACCCAAAAGAGCAAAGACTCGATGCACAGTTGATATAACGTGCTGGACGATTATATTGACGCAAACGCCAATTGCGAAGTTGTGTATTGTTACGAATTGCGAATCGCAATAGTTGTAAGCTTCGTTGTATAGCTGAGTCGAGTGCGCGCGATGACTATACCAACAGAAAGCAGCTGATCGGCAAAAGATGGCGTGCGCAAAACAAAGATCGGGGAAGGGGTGTAAACTGTAAGCTAAGAGCTTGTGTTTAAAAATTACGCGTGTTTATGTTTTGATTTTGTGTGTATAAAACTCTGGAGAAATAATCGCATCGATGATGATATCATCGATCGATCTGCAGTGCAGATGAATCTTACTATTTTGGAGCATAGCCTAATGGTTTTATGTATTTTCTAATGAATGTTCTAAAGCTCTCAACTAAAACTTAAATTTGTATCATTGGGCTCTTATTAATGCGTACTTATTGTTTATAATATATAATATTCAAGCGAGCTATTCATTCAGAGTAAAAATGACAATTTCGAGCAAGTTTTTGGAGTTACTTACTAAAAATTTGAAAAAAAGCTATACGCAAAGGTTCGATTACTACGCGGGTTTGCCAAAGTTCAAAAAGGTCTAATACTTGTTTGACATCCCTCACGATAAGTATCGATGAAGGTCCTTAATAAATCAGTTGTTCAACTCAATCATTAATCCAAGACGAACGAAAAATATCTATTTTACGGCCACTGATTCGATAAATAACATCGAACGTTCATTCGAATTATAAATGAACGTTGATAGTAGTGGTTCGGTGCTAATAACAAGCTGTCAAAAGCATCGCAAGAGTTTCAAGATTCGTAAGCTTCGGAGTCGCGCGCGAAACGCAATCGAGTACAGCCGACTCCGAGATCGCAGAGTTCGTGTACGCTCGCGAGTAGCTGGCAGTCTGTTTGTCGAGAATAGTGGCGGAGGTGCTGCAAGATGGCGTCGCGGTGACGGCTGCTGAGTCCGCGGCAGCGGTGGCGGTGGCAGGCAGCGGCGCATTGCGCGAAAAGCGACTCTCTGTCGCAGCAGCAGCAGTGCGATTCTACTCTGGCACCAAGTGTGCTGGCTCAGTGCTGCTGCTTGCGAGTATCGCGGCCGATGGCAATCCGTGTGCGTCGTGCCCCCGCGACTGCTTTGAGCCGTGCTCGTGCGAGCGGCGCGACAGTAGCGCAGCGGCGGCGGCTGGCCTACGGCAGCCAGCAGCTCAGCTCCTCCACGAGCTGACTAATCCGCCCCCGCGTTTTTTTTTCTTCTGCGAGATCCGATCCGTCTATCGCTGCTGCTACGTTAGAGTAGTAGCTGGGCCAAGACGACGAACACGACGACGATTGTGTGCGTGTGTGAATAATTGCACGACACGAGTAAAAAATCTCTCGCTGCAGCGGCCAGTCGCAGGCGAGATCGCGAGAGAGGCGTGCGAGCCTCTCCTTGAGAGAGCGAGAGCGACCAGCAAGACCAGTCGCTGCTCCGCGCGCAGTCTATCAGTGTTTATTGTTGTTGTGGTGGTGCATGTGACACATCCTGCGACGATCGCCGACACATTCGACCGCGACTACTGCTTGTGTGCGTTATTGTGTTATACTCGACGGTCGACTCGGCTCCTCGCGAGTCCTCGCGCTCTGTGCTCCTATATCTATATTGTGAGTGTGTGTGTGTGTGTGCTATCGCGAGTGCGAGTGTCGATGAATACATAAGTGAGCCTAATATACAAAAGTGTCCTGCGGAGTAAGCGCGTAAGCTCGTCCTCGGGAGCCGAGCGAGCGAACTTTGTACGAGTTTCTGCAATCGCTCTGCCGCTTCGGCCCGCAGTCGCACGGGTCGGATACACGCTTATAAATATATATCATACACACGCAGACATATACATATATGTAAATTTGCGTTTACATACACGATATATATCTATATCGCGGCTTAGAAGACGGAGAAGAATAGGAGCAGCAGAGCAAGAGCAGTAGGCAGACCGATTAGTGCGCGTGTGCGCGCAAGGACTCGGCTCTCACCATGGCATCCGAGAGGTAATATACCTATAGCACTTAGATATAGCCAATTGCTGATAGTGGCCCATCAATAGGACGGAGTAGCCGCCTTATGACATTGTTTTTATGGCTATTAGGGCTCGATCCACGAAACTCGTCTGCGTTAATCGAATAACATCGGAGTCGAATCTCTTTAGCTTGCGATTCGGAGCTATCTTTTGTACATTTAAAGTTGCGGGAGCTTCGAGTTCGCTGCACATGGGCGTAGTTTTTCTCACGGAACTCCTCGTGCTCGCCGGGGGTGAAATAGCAGCTATATTACGTATCCTCGCGCACGCATACGCGTGTGCAGCCACATCGAGATCTCCCTTACAAAATATCGAGTCTTACATGTTATATAGGCACACTAGGTTTCCGCTCGCACACATGCGATTCGTCCGATGCGTAAAAGGTATAAATACGAGTGCGTATATAATAAGTTGGGAGCAACGACAGCCGCGACTCGTGTGTACATACATTCTGTACAGGCACAATAACATGTACATACATTCGCATTCGGTATCTTGTCTCTTTCTCGCTCGCGGTTTACTCGTCTATGTATGTAATGTACGCTCACTTTGCAAGACTAGCAGCAGCAGCAGCAGCCACGGCAAAGAGACTCATTCTCTCCCCCATATGTGCTGTTCTCGTCGTCGCGTACACATATATATACCTACGACTCGCGCACGAGCTACACGCGAGAGAGCTGCTCCTCTCTGTGTCTGTGTGTCTGCATGCCTGCCTGCCTGCGTATCGCATATATTTTTCGCAGTACACTACATGTATACGTGCTTGCGACCAGTAGTGTCGTTTTCTGCTCTTTTCTCTCTTCTTTTTCAGCTTTTTTTCCATTTTTCATGTTCATCCATTCGACTGCGTAGCATTAGTGCTTGTATAGGCTCGCGCGCGCGCGAACCCGAGAGTTTTACGCTCTTTCCATAAACATTCGCACGCGTTTATGCTGCTGCTCGTTAATTCTCGTTCTTTTGCGCCGCTCCTCGACGTCCGTGGGCCGTAGTGCTCTCTGCCTTTACAGCTCTGTTATAATATAGTCGAGGGCCTCGCTCTGCTGATGCTGCTTGTACTGCTGCCGGGGCTTTTAAAAAGTCCGAGAGCTAGAGATAGCTCTCTGCGTTAGTATGCAATGGTACAGGTCTCGGGATGACGCGCGACAGCTGCTTCGAGGGGAGGATATAGTAGGAGCCGCCGCCGCGCGCGAGCAAAGAGAGACACTTTCTGGGTCGCTTTTTTCGTCGAGGTCGGTTTCACCTTGATCCGATCGATTGAACTTGTGAACCGCTATGTAACTGTTTATACATGCACACAGATAGCTGCTCTGTCGCTTTTAGCTGCTGCTCGTGTTTGTGTGTCTCTGCTTCGATGTGTAATACACATGTATATAGCGAATATCTGTCTCCGTAGCTAATGTGTTGGGCCGTTTTGTTTGATAGCAAACAAGTCGGAGGGAGAGGGAGCGATGAGAGAGAGAGAGAGTTAGGCAGAGCTTGTTTGTGTGCTCGAGTTGCTGCTGTTGCTGCTGCTGTGGATCGCGTCGACGAGATAAACTCGTGTGTTCGTTTAATATGCTTTCCCATGGCCGCCACCGATCGGTGCAGTCGGTCAACTTTTCGATAAGATATTTTCGGAGCGAACTATTCCTCGCTCGCTCGCTCTCTCGTGTGCTCGTCATGCGAAGGTCAAAGCTCAAAGGGAGAAAGCTGAAAAGCTGCAAGCGTGCCGTACGCTAGTTTATATACTCCCGAGCTCTGCAGCCAACTTCCTCGTGTGGCGTGTGTATGCGAGTGCAAGCTGCGGCAGGAAATTGAGAGTACGTCTTCAAAGTGGCGTTAGAACAATTTTTTTTTGTACTTTGTGTATACGTCGCGCTCCTCGTGCCTTGCGGGTTATATTTGCACGAGACGCTGGTTCTCGGAAAGGGTCGCAAACAAAAGTCGACGCGTCTCGCGCGCGCGAAGAATCGTCTCGCGGCGAGCATAAAAAGTCGGTTAATTTAGCGCATCGAGTTGCGCTGCAGCTATATTGCTGCTATCACACGCTACGTGCCGTTCACGAGACCGTGCGGTGGTGGTCGACGCGACGAAACACAGAGAGAGAGAAAGAGAAGCGAAGCGAAGCTCGAGATGTTTTTCCGCGTATGCAAAAGTCGATATCGGCTATTAAAACACGCATGCATTTATGCAGCAGCGAGAAAAGTAATTAGAAACTGGTGCATCGATTGCGAGCGCGCTAGTTTCTCCTCATTCTCTCTCTTTCTTTTTCGCTTCGACTGCTGTGGACAGTCCGGGGCTTTTGCTTTTTTATCGTTTCGTCGCCGCCGATGCGCTTGCGGTGTAGTTGTCTATTGCTTCGCACGCACGCACTATACGTGCACTCGTAATGCAATAATAAACGTATAATACTCCGCGACTCCGATTTTCGAACGACGTTCTCTCCCTCTTTATACACAACGCACATAGCCGCATCTATGCCCTATACGATACACGCTCCAAGCGTTATAAAGCGCGCAGCGAGTAAAAATACGGAGAGGGCAAAGTTTTAGCGACGATCGGCGTGACTCATCGAAAGCTATATACGAGGAGCCGGACCGCCGACGCAGCGCATAGCGGGCGCCTCGTGCGCCATGCACGTCTGCCTGGTACAACACAAACGTGTATCGCACGCGCAGCATGTGCTCGCCTCGCCATGATGCGCACTTTAACTTATTCTTCTTCTTCTTCTATACACGCGCACGCACACGCGAAACAACGCATATACGTATACCCGATCGAAGTTCGAACGAAGAGAGAAAACGTAAATAACTAATCGGAAGTTCAGAAGCAACCGCTTGCGCTCGTCGCCCCGGACAGCAGCAGCAGCATAATATGAAGCAACTCGCGCCGCCGTTGGATCCATGCGCTATTTTTGGATATTGTTATCACTTCATATAAATACACACGCAGTAGGCAGCCGCCACCGCCGTATTTATTTTTCGACTATGACTAATTATCGATCGAGTCGAGGCTACTTTACGAAATTGTCGGAATGGATGAGCAGAGGAGACTCGTTGGCTGGGCCAGTTTTCCACTTGATGACGCGTACAATGCCAAGCCCTTTATCTTTTTTTCTTTTTTAAGCTGCAGTCTCTCGTTCAAGGTCCAAGTCGAGCGTGGCAGCGGCAGCTCTTGACATATTAGACGACGACGTGTAGGTGACGTACACGCGCGCGATGTATTTCTCATCTACTCTTTCTCGTGTCTCTTTCTCAACGTGTTACTTTATAAGCATATCCACATAATACGTATATGAGATGAAGTTCGCTCGTGTATATTGTACGCGTTACTTTTCTCGGGCACAGCTTTGTTATTTCCGGACAACAAGAGGCTCTCATTTTTCGAAAGAAACTCTTTCTAGGTGAGGGTCGAGCGGCGAGATGAATTACACGTGGCCTCTTCATCCAGCTCCAACGAGAGAGAGAGAGCGCGAGAGGCTCCATTCGAAACGCGCGTCAAAGTCTAAAGCTCCTAGCCTGATATGGATTTGCACACGCGCGCGAGCTACTATATTATAATGTGATGAGCTGAAATTGAGCTTGAATGTCTTTATCCGGCTTATCGGATTAAAAATGCGCGAGAGGCTTTCGCTGGATGATTTTGCACGTCGAGTAGGAGATAACCATGCGTTCGGCGCGAAGATTATTCGGACGCTTATTTATCGCCCATCGCCCATCAGCATTAACTGCATCGGACGAATTATCGCGCGTCCAGCTTTTCATCAATGAGTTTTTCCACAATTATCTCGCAGCTGCTGCAGCTTGCAATTTATGTGTACGTGTGTGCGCGGTGCGTTACGACATCGTATACTTTTATCGCTGCGCAGCTATAGGAACAATGCTTGTCATTCTTATAATAGTGTTTAAAAAGTACAACTTACAAACATTTTAATTCCTTAATTGTTCTTAACTTATGTAATTGTACACTACTCGTGTATTTATGCCTTATTGTGTCGGGAGGTTTAACTGCATTGTTAGGATTTAGGTTGAACGAAGCCGAGAAAGACGTCGGGGCATTTATCTTTTCCGCAAAAATATCGTCGCGCCGCGTAGCCAGAGTCGACGATGACGCATACTTTACGCGCGTGTGTATATAATCCGGAGCACTGGGATAAAAATTGTCCTAAAGCATCGACGGAAGGACCGTACGTGATTCTTTTTTAGTTTTTTTTCTCGGCTCAAAAGTTTTGGGTCTTTGTGCGCATCATTTCCACGACGTATAATTATTCAGAATCCATATAGCGTTAATTACTTTGTCGACGAGCAAAAAGCTAATACTCGACGTACGGAAAAAAAGAAGGAAGTCTCTGTCGCTGAAAGGTCTTTTAAAACGTACACGGCGCAAAAGTCGATCGATTGACAGCTGCAAAAAGGAGCGCACGAAGCTCTTCGGTTCGACGAGCCGTCGGCCCAGAGAAATTCGAAGCTCCTTGTGTGCCGAGTAATTAAGAAGGCGCAGCGAGAAATAAATCGATCGATCGAATCGGCTCTTGCGTGTGCGACTCGAAATCAGATGAAATTTGCGCGTCAAACAAGGTACTTGAGGGCGCGTTTGAAACTCTTGGATCATGACAAATTACAGTCTCGACTCGAGAGAGCGAGCCCGAACGAAGTAAATACGCGGAAGAGCTTGAAAATGCACGCGCTTCAGCGAGCCAAATGACGACGGATTTAAAGCTCCGTCGGGTATATAATACGAGAGCAACCTACTCGTGGCTCTCGAGGCGCGTCGATCACATTTTTCAAAATGACTTTTTAAAATCGTCCAAGTTTATGTAGATAGTAGCTATATCAATAGACTCTCTCTTTCCATAAGCACGTAGTAAATATAAGTAAGGTACTTTCTAGTCTCGCAAGCTTTGGCTCGGTCGTCGGGCTACACATTGCTGCTCTCGAGCGAGCGAGAGAGAAAGGGATCTATGCGGTGCGTTTTCCTTGTCTCGGCGCTTAT